TCAGGTCACATGACCATGATGTCACCCACCTGTAGTCTTTCTGCATGTTTCTAAACAGCTCCATGAACTCCGCACTGACCTCCTCTCTGATCTGAGTCTCCAGAACCAAACGCAGCGCCGCCTGGTGTCCGGACTGCACACACACATAAACAACAGCCAAATTAAAGCTAAAGAAAGGTCAACAGCAGCCACATGGCTAATTACACTCATCTGCAGTTGGCATAAAGAGTCAGAGATTACACGCAGGTTTATGTCAAGAAAACGTCAGAAGTATAGTTAGCCTGTAGCTAGCTTCAAATGGACAATTACAAAGCTAAGATGTGTAAATAACTGGAGTTAAAAAAGTCATTTAAACTGTAACCAAACGTCAGCAACATCCTAGTGGTACACAGCTGAATGCTTTCTAAAAGAAGTTCCTCCTGCCTTCTGCTCTTCCTCCATGGTCCGGTCCTCCTCTTCCTCCTCCTCAGCACCTGCCTCCAGCACGGTTCCTTCCAGCACGCTCTCCTCCTCTTCTTCCTCCTCCTCCTCCATATCATCTTCTTCTTCATCCTCGTCCTCCAGCACGTCCTCCAGCGTGGTCTCCCAGGCCATGATTGAGCTCCTCCTGCCCCACCTTGTAACGTTTTTGCCCTCCTGGTCATCAATGACCATCGACAGTTCCATTGCTGACTTGTTGGAGGAGGCGTCTGGAACCACGGGCCTTGCGTTCAACACCACCACCTGGATGGAGACGTCGGTGTCAGTGTTGGCTGAGTGGGTTCGTGGGGGGAGGGGTGTGTGTATGTGTGTGTGTATACCTTCTGAGCTAAGGCGGAGAACTTGAGGACGTTGAGCGTCTCGTCAAAACATGAGGCGTTCTGGTTGATGTTAACGACCATGCAGACACGCCCGGCACCAGAGAAGAAGAACTGCAGGAAGTGGGTGAGTTTGGACTCTCTGAAGGGAACGTGGTGCTGCACCCTGAAGAGACAGAGGGACAGGAACTGACTGAGAGACTGACAGAGACAGGGCATACAGACAGAACACACCCACAGACAGAGAGACACAGACGCAGTGTGAACGAGACACTGGTTGCAGTGGTTGTTTTTACTTGTTGTTCTGGTTGAGTCTGATGGCATTGATACACTTCCCCAGCGTCAGCAAAGAATTGTTGATGTTTCCTGCCTCCTTCAGTCTCTCTCCTGTGTTCTGAGTCCGAGAGCAGCGCTCTGAACCGGCCAGGTCGCACAGAGACAACCTGAACACACACACACAAAGATGATTTCAGACGGCTAACAATCTTGAAATAAAAACATCTTTCAGACACAACACCAGTGACATCACAGTGATGTCACACAGCGGGGAGGAGGTGAAGTGACTCATACTCGCTGATGCCCAGAACTCTGGGAATGCTGCCGTCCTCCACCCTCATGATCCTGATGGAGAAGATGCTGTGGCTGCAGACAATGACAGAAAGAACATATGAGACTCTGGTGCCATCGTACGGCCAAAAGAGGAATAGCACAAAGACTCCTCTCTGCCCAGAGGTCAGGTGTGTAAAACTGACCTCCTGCTGGACAACTGGTTCAGTCTTGTGGCAGAGAAACTCTGGTTTCTCTTGCCAATCTTCATCACTTTGTAGGCCTCTCCAGAGCTGGTCACATGAACCCAGCGCAGGTCTGTCACACACACATACATATACACACACACACACACACACACACACAGACAGGTCAACAAGCAGAGGAACAATAGTCAGCCTAATCCAGAAGAATCCTGTTGCAGTGATTGGACGATGAAAACACCAGCCGGGGACTGGGTCCATCTTTGATGTTGTCTGTAGTTTTACCTTTGATGAAAGAGTTTCCTTTGACATCCTGAGACAAACGCAGCACTGTCCTCTTGTGGTGTCCTCCGGGAACCTGGATGTCACCATCAAGTAAACAAAAACATTATCAGAGTCTGTTTCATGTTGATGGTCACTGTGTGTCCATCACCAGTGTCCACAAAGGGACACAGCAGCTGTCAATCAGGTTTGTCCTCAGTCACTAAGTCTCCAGAGGCCTGTGTTTCTCTTCCTTTTTTCTTTCTCTTTGGACTTTGGTGAAAATGGAAATAGTTAAACATTTGTTTGTGTCTCAGCTGGTCTGTCAGAAGGTGACTAATGACCTAAACCAGCCAGACCACACCAGAGGAGCTGAGACACACCACGACTTGATGAACACAATAGTGTAAACAATTTTGACTGCCCCCTGCAGTTTATACTCTGCAAGTACTCTGTTACAGATCTTGCCATATTTCATTTCATGATTCTGTATGAATATTCTACATCACTGTATGGATTTTATCTTTTAACAATTACCAGTCAAATATTCATGGTGTTCAGTTTATTAATTTTTTCTTGTCCAGTGATTCCAAATGTAGATCCCTCTGTTCCGGTGTTAGTGATGTTAAGATGGAACAGCACTGTGTGTTTACTATGATGACAGTTTACTAGAATTCAGTTGTTTAAAAAAACTCAGCATGTCCCACCTGTTCCAGCAGGTCGTGGATGTTGTCGTTGTAGATCTCACAGAACGAGACCCAGACAGAAAAGCGCACGTTGGAATCTACATCTAAACAGAAACTGTCGTCAGAGACGCTGTTCAGGCTGCTGTCGCTGCTGAGGGATGAGCCTGGAAACACACACACACACACAGAGAGAGAGACACAGGGTCAGGGTTACAGCCACTGTGTTCCATTTTTAAAGTTTTAGAAGAAGTCAGACTTAGAGACCTTCAAGAATCGTTGATCTTCCTGACGAAAGATTTTTGTCACTCTGCAAAAGAACAAAAAAGTGTCACTTTGAGAAACACATGTGTGTGTGTGTGTGTGTTAGTGTGTGCTTGTGTAAATATGTCACCTCTTTGAACAGTCTCAGCAGGTTCTTCCTGCTGTTGCTCTCTGCCACCTGCTGGTCTGGCGTCAGTCTTGTGAAGTCTCTGCAGCGCTGAGGCTTCAGGTCGCTGCGTTCATACTGACGACCCTCGATGTTGTTGAAGATGACGGAGAGAGAGCGGGGCAGCAGACCCGAGTCATGATCCGGACCTGAGGTCAACACAAAAGTCCAACAAATGAAGAAGTGAAAACGATAGCACAGTGTTCTGTTTACTGCTTTCTCGCCCACTGAAATCCATACAGAAAATTACACATTTTAGCTCACAGAGACACTGAAGCTGCTGGGCCACAGCTGCCTCCTGTGGTCAGTTTGTGAAGCAAGGGTTTCCAACACTGACTGAATGAAATAACACCAGCAGATCTTACCCATGAAGGCAACAGCTACTGTGAGTAGTAAAATTAAATCACTGCTTTTCTCTATGGACTTTGGTTTGGGAGGAGTTAAGAGATCGCTTTAATGGATTCTGACCGAGGAAGGTGAAGGTTTTCCCAGCATTGGTAACTCCATAGGTGAACACCAGACAGTTTCCTCCATCCAGAACATCTCGGACCAGTCCACGGACAGAATGCTCAAACACTGTCTTTTGTTTGGCCTCTGGACCAAACACCTTCAAAAACCAAAATACAGTAAGAGACAAAGTAATGGTAGAACCATTCTGATATTTTTGAGAAAACATTTGGCGACATCGCAGATAATAAATACCTACGATAGCTTCCATTAGCTTTTGGTTTCTAAGCATGAGTGATCTTTTGGCTAACGTTTGTTTATGGTTCAATTCAGTTTTGACAGCATCACCTGGCTGATGTTTCACACTCACCTGTGTGAAGGTGAACTTCTGCGCTGTCTGTGGGAGGGACTTGTCACTCTGACGGCCAGATTGACAGCTCTTAGGTGCTTTCAGGACAACGGTGTTGTATCCTTCGATGGTTACACACTCCTACAGAAACAAAACAACAGGTTTTTCCATTTAAGTCTTCACTAAGAGTGTCAGGATTTCAGGAATCTCATGACGTGATGAAACGTGCGTCACCTGTGACTCTCCACTGTCACTCTCTGACGCAGTGAAGGGTCTCACTCTCAGGAAAACCTGCAGGTTCTCTGACTGGGACTGATCACTGTCCTGCAGAGAAACACATAAGCACAACGGTAACAAGAACACCAAAGTTATGTGTGATCCAGCCCCATGAACACAACAGTACCACAAAAGAGGACGAACACCACAGACCACAAAAACCAGGTCTTACAACTAAACATGTTAGTTGTGGGACCTAAATGTACCTGTGGTTGTTGAGCAGAAAAGTCTCCATGAAGAGCTCTTCTTATGTCTTCCACCTCCACTGGTCCCAATCTCTCCGGTTTCCCGGCTAAACAAGAACTCATTATCTGTCAACAAACACACAGAACTATTTAGCCTTCTCCAAACTGCTACATATACTCTGGCGTTGACATATTAAATGTCATATATAAAGTTAGGAACAGCTCGAACCACCCTCGTAACTCTGCAAAATATCACAAAAACCTCACAATAACCACAAAAAAAGTTATTTTTTTTGTGGTTATTGTGAGGTTTTTGTTTGTGCTAATATTATTTTCAGGAGTTACGTTGTGAGTTTTGGCTCAGGTATATATCTTTAGCCTTTAGTTAAAACAATTTATTTATGATTACAACATAATAATAATTCTCAGTCTGTAAAGTAAACAGCCGCTGTTTAAAACCTAGCCCTAAGATTGATGTTAGCATTAGCCACTAGTTGCTAACAAACATTACTGACGCTTCTTTCGTGACTGATAGAAGAAAACACTCACGTGACGGAGATTCAGATCGCGACTCACTTTGAACGCAGTGCTTCAACAATAAGAGTATTCATTAAAACATTACTCAGAATTAAGTATTAAAACTACGATAAAATGTCACCAACATTACATTAGCCGGTAGCTCCGCGGGCTAGTTTTAAACTGCATACGCTGAACCAATCAAAACTTGAGCTCACACAAACGTCACGCAACTGGTATGTTTCGTGAAAGTAAGAAACCCACGCGAGACTTTGACCTAAAGCAAAAAAAGTAAAATAAAAATATATAAATTATTTTACGATATAGATAATACAGAAAATAAAGTATATATATGGTTTGTACATTTAACTAAGAGTTCAACGCCGAATATTGGAAAACAAAGGTTTGGTCGGGTGTTTATGATGTCATAGCAGTGGGACACTACGCAGATCCGCTTCAGATTAGCAAAACTGCAGGATAATCTGATGCTGTTTCTGTCGCTGCTCATTTTTTCGACCTAAGACAAGCAACGTTGAATTACTTGATTAAAAAAAACCCTCGTATTTCCTTTGTGATAAACAAACAAGGCAACGCCAGGAGCAACGAGACGCGAAACGCGTTTCCATGACGACGGTGAGATCAGCGGACGGTTTACGTCGGTAAAATACAATGTAAAAAAACAAACAAACAATCGACTGATTTTCTCGGAGTGATGAGCTTAGGTCGATATGTTTTACTTAAGTCAGTAACAAATAATAAGACAAAACGACAGAAAATTACTCAAAAGAATAGAGATTCAATTTGGATTTTAGAGCCAAAATCTACAGAAGAATAAGAACCAGTTATACCAGTCGAGAGAACAATGTAAACTTAGAACACTAGGACATATTATTCACAATAAGTACAGATAATATTAAAACTTTATAATAACAGTGTTTATAAAGTAATTAAAATATAGACAAGAATAAATGGCAAAGAATTGTTCTACTGCTTGTTCTAAGTTGTAAGAACAATAAGTGAATCATCTCTGTTGTGTGTATCTCACCTGTAGAGAACCTTCTGGTTTCCGCTGTTGATGTGTGTGTGACGCTGGATTTGGTCTCAACATGTCTGAAGTGAGTGGTGATGGAGGGAAGTGGTTGGACGCTCACTACGACCCGGTGGCAGGTCTCTACACGTTCTCCTCATGTGTGGACCTGGCAGACCTGAGCGGTGATGGCGAGAGTCGGTTAGTGGTCGGAGACCTGGGATCGGGCTTGTCTGGCATGAAGCTGAAGGTGTTCCAGGGCACGGCGCTGCTCAGCGAGAGCACCCTGCTGGACCTGCCCACCGGCCTTGTCGCCTTCTTCATGGATCTGCATGAACCACGAATCCCGGCCGTGGCAGTTGCGTCTGGACCCTGCATTTATGTCTACAAGAACCTGAGGCCATATTTCAAGTTCACTCTGCCTGGGCTGGAGGTCAACCCTGTGGAGCAGGTAAGTGGGTTTCTGGATGCATGTCATTCCTCTGAGGATCGCACTTGTGACTCACAGTGATGCTCTGATTGGTTAGGATGTGTGGCAGCAGGTGAAGGAAGGTCAGATCGATCCACTGACCATGAAGGAGATGCTGGAGGGCATCAGAAAGAAGGCGGACGTTCCCTTGTCTGTACGCTCCCTGCGGTTTCTCTCTTTAGAAACTGATGAAATGGATGAGTTTGTCCAGTTACACAAACAACAGCCAATCAAGCGTCAGGTAAGACCTGCTTTATGATGTCACTGTAATCCTGAAGTCCAGACTGTGGGATTTTTCACCTGCTGCTTTTCCCTCATGTCAGACCGTCATCACCTGTGTCGGGACGTTAAAGAAGAGCACCGCCGACGAGGACGGAGTCAGCTGTCTAGTCATCGGGACGGAGAGCAGCAATGTCTACGTCCTGGACCCTGAGGCCTTCATCATCCTGTCCAAGGTGAGTCATTGTCCTCGCTGTCTTTGTCGTCCACCTCAAAGATCTGAACGAATGCTGATCCTCTGTGGCAGATGTCCCTGCCAGCTCCTCCCACCATGATAGACGTGACGGGGCAGTTTGATGTGGAGTTCCGCATCACGGTGGCCTGTCGCAATGGAAACATCTACATCCTGCGCAGGTGGGTCGTTTGCTCTGATCCGAGTCAGATCCAGGGTGGAGGTTCTTCACATTCTCCCATCTTTTCTTGTTTTCTTCTCTTTCTCAGGGACTCAGACAAACCAAAATACAGCATGGAACTCTCATCTCACCCTGTCGGGCTGGTCAGAGTCGGGAAGAACGTGGTGGTGGGCTGCACGGATGAAAGTCTGCAGGGCTTCACACAAAAGGTACAACTGGGTCTGTGGGCCGTTAGACGCCTGAAGATGGCGTTGACCAAATACTGTACTCCTGTGTTCGTACGGAAAGAAGCTTTGGAGGACCACCCTTCCTGCTCCAATCATCACCATGGCTGCCATGGACCTCCCCACACGAGGTTTCCAGGGTGTCCTGGTGGGCCTGGCTAATTGTGAGGTTCATCTGTACCGGGACAAGAACCTGCTGAGCAACATTAAAACGCCTGATGTGGTCACCAGCATCTGCTTTGGCCGCTACGGACGTGAAGACGGTACACTGATAATGACCACCAAGGGCGGCGGTCTGATGGTGAAGATTTTAAAGAGGACAGCAATTTTCGATGACCGGGACGGCACGCCTGGTCCACCGCTGGCCCAAAGTGTCCGTCTCAATGTGCCCAAAAAGACCAAGTTGTACGTGGACCAGACTCTACGCGAGAGGGAGAATGGCGTGGCCATGCATCGCGCCTTCTATATGGACCTCAGCCGGATGCGACTGGCCGCTGCCAAAGCCTACGTGAAGGCCCTGGAGTCCAGCCTGACTCCCATGTCGTCCAGCTTGTCTGAGCCGCTCAAGATGAACGCCGTGGTCCAAGGTCTGGGTCCGACCTTTAAACTGACCCTGAACATGCAGAACACGGCGGCATGTCGGCCCGTCATGAACCTCGCCATTAGCTTCCTGTATGACGAGAACCTGTACCGGATGAGAACCCCGTACCTGAGGATCCCGCTGCTGGTACCTGGGCTCATCTACCCTGTGGAGACCCTGGTAGAATGCACCAGCGACAAGGGCATCTCTGACATCATCAAAGTGTTTGTCCTGCACGAGGGAAAAGGCTGCCCCCTGCTGACTGCCCACATCAACATGCCAGTCAGCGAAGGACTGATGCTCAACTGACAACATCTCTGTGCAGGACTGAGACGTCGTGACTCATCAGAGCTGGTTACATATTGAACTAGTGATGTTACATTTGTGTAAAGTCTTTAGACAAGAATACATTTGTCAAAAAAGTGTTTATTTATAAGAATTTGTAGTAGATTTAATTTTACTCTTCCATTTATTATTCTAGGAAATAAAATATCAAATTATCAAAAAATGTTTAGGTGGTTTTGTTTTTAGAGAAATAACCTTTCTAAAGTGGATGGGGGAAAAGTTCAGTTTTTGTTTTCTTTAGAAAATCAAGCAAAAGACACAGCTATTTAATAATACTGTGAATCACACCCCCACTCCACCAGGCGTCGCCACAGGAATAGTCTGCATGGTGATCTGCCAGAGAACATTTTGGGACTTGAAGACAGAATTCACTTCATCAGGAGTCAGACAGTGGTTTCACCACCATCTTAGAATGTTCAGTTCAAATCATTAGAACTTGACAGGCAACCAGACGGACATCTCTGCCGCCCACCAAATGGAATGTTCCAGAAGCTGCCCACCTAGTCCATAATCCGGCCGTGTATACCAAAGAACACAACAAAAAACCAAGCAGTGACATCACTGGGGCAAAGGTCCAGTAAACAGATGTTGTTTGAGTCCAGAGTCCGGTAAAGTTCCACTAGTTGTGAAATCTCCTGGATTTTCCTGCGTGTGCAAATGTTCGCATGATAAAAGGCAACTCAGGAAGTGAACCAGAGACCAGATCCAGACCAGATCAAGATGAGACGTTTGATTGCAGCCCTCGGTAAGAACCAGAGACCAGCTCCTGGTTTCACTCTGATCCTGATTTTGGTTTGTTTTAATGTGTGTGTGTTTTTGTGCAGCTCTGCTGAGTGTGTGTCAGGCCGTGAGGTTTGGTCAGCTGTGTGCCGGCAATGCCAACAACGACAGGAGGATGAGTGACACCTGGGGACAAGGTCACTACGGCGCCAGACGGTAAAGTACATGTGCAGGTGCACTCTGGGATACGTAGTCGAGAAACATATGACAACATCAATGTATGGAGGACTGAAGACATGACAGATCAGGACTAGGACTAAGTTCAGTCAAATTACTACTGCATCTCATCACAATGTCTAATGCTGTGTGTGTGTGTGTGACGGTCCAGGGGTGGTCGGGATCACAAAGGTCTGGACATCAGGTGTTCAGACGGGTCGGTGGTCTACGCTCCCTTTGACGTGACTCTGAACGGGGCTCTCACCGTCTACACCGACCCCAAGAAGGCAGCCATCAACAGCGGCATCAACCTGGCGGGCGAAGGTGGGTCCTCTCCAGTCAGTGGACTCATTGATCATGTGATTGGTTACTGATGGTCATACTCCTGCAGGTCTGTGCTTCAAGCTGTTCTACGTCAGACCAGACCGCACCTCAGGGACGGTGACCAAGGGCAACAGGATCGGCGTGATGCTGCCCATGCAGAGCGTTTACCCTGGAATCACCTCACACGTCCACGTCCAGATGTGTGACAAGAGCAACCCCACGGAGTACTTCTGAGCCGGTCTGTGGACATCATCACCTCTCGACCTCACGATAACCGTTGGCCGTTGATGCTTGGTGAAGCGATGGTGGTGAAATAATAAAGTCAAATGAGAACTCACTGAAAGGCTCCGGGGTTTATGTTGAAACATCAGCGAACACTCACTGTACTGTATGTCTCATCCAAGATGACTGGGGTCGTTACTAAAGCAACAAACCCACCAATCACAATTCAGCCACAGCTGCCACATCAACAAACATCAATCAAGAACATAATACAATTACAAAATGTATTTCACTCACCTTAACTTAATATTTGTGCATGATCCCTCCTCCTCCTCCTTCCTGTTGTGCCCTTCCTCCTTCTCCTCCTCCTCCTGTTGAAGATGAAGATGAGTTCAGTGACTCTGTCGTACAGATTATCCACGAGTTCCAGCTCTATCTCCGTTCAGTCCATCCTGTCATATCTATGGAATAAGTTTGAAATCGCTTCAGGCTGAAGAATGAAACTCTGTTCTCTGACTGTCCAATCAAATCACTCAGATCGCCAACGTAACTCTGGTCCAGTTAGAAGGCCTTGATATGCCAGTTTGATGCCAACTCAAAATCTGATTGGTTAAGGGAACCATTCATTTTGAAAATGTTGGACGACCAGGTCAAACGAATGATATTTGATATAAAAGAGTTCCATCTTCATCATCTCTCCTGCTATGTGATTGGGCAGAAATGTGTCAGTCACTCAGTCACAGCAATGACCCGTCCAGCACGCATGTCTCAGTCGCTGAAAAATATTGGAAATGTTTGCTGATATTTATAATCGTGTTCTTAAATTACACCTGTATATTTGAAATTCGAAACTAAAAATGTGTAATAATTATGTTATTACACTACTATTTATAGCTACCGTAAAATGAAGTCAAGTATTATTTCTATATATAAATCCCTATTATTTGATAGGTTGGCTGCAGGGAAGGGGCGGGACAATACCGGAAGTTCCGCTTCACTTGTACCCGGAACATCAACAGTGTAAACAAAGGAGCGGGACGCGGTAGAGACATGTTCCCAGCTTTGGTGCCCGCTGACAGGCTCCTCTTGGCGGCTGTTGGCATGCTTTTTGTCCGTCTCTGCTGCTCCTCTGTAGCGCCGCAGGACATCCCTCCAATCGCGGCTTTCTTTGGCACGAAGACCCGCTACGAGGACGTCAACCCGCACCTGCTGCGGGACGTTTACTCCGTCGACCCGTCCGTCCTCAAGCCTCCGCTTAACGAGCGCTGCTCCCCGGTTCACCTGACCGCTGTTATCCGCCACGGCACCCGATTCCCGACCGCCAAGAACATTCGCCGTATCCAGAAGTTGAGCGACCTGGTTCGGGCAGAAGCCTCCAGAGGCTCCCCTGGCTCCTGGCGTCGCTGGGACATGTGGTACAAGGAGGACATGGACGGTAACTAAGTCGGAAAACTGCTGTTTATATATGTGTATATATATATATATGTCTATATATATATATATATATATACATATGTATGTATATATGTCTATATATACATATTTATATACGTATATATGTATGTATATGTATGTAGGGGCAACACATACATATACATATATATATATATATATATACACATATATATATATATATATATATACATATATATATACACATATATATATATATATATATATACACATATATATATATATATATATATATACATATATATATACACATATATATATATATATATATATATACACACACACACAGACACACTGTTATTTCCACTTTTAAACAGGAGGGGGTGCTCACCTTAATCTTCCTATCATTGCACTGGGTGTTCAAGTCTGGTCCTTTTCTTTCTCAGGTCAGCTGGTGGCGAAGGGCTGGGACGACCTCCGTCAGCTAGCGCGGCGTCTGGCCGTCTTGTTTCCAGACCTGCTGTCGCAGGAGAATGTGAGAGAGCGGAGAGTGAGCTTCCTGACCAGCTCCAAACACCGCTGTGTGAGCAGTGTCCAGGCGTTTCAGGAAGGTCTGCAGCGGCCAGAAGATGGCGGTGAGTAGACGTAGGTGTTTCAGCGACCTGGAAATGAAAGGAAATCCTTCAGTAACAGTCCAAACGACAACAACATACTCAGTTCAGTAACAGGAAACTGCCACGACAACCAAAACATATTTCAAATTAGTCTAACCAAAGTTGAAACAGTTATGTTTGCCTAAACATGCTATACCAGAGGAAACAGGAAGTTCCTAAGTGAAAAAGAAAAAAAATAGAAAAAGACTTGATGAACACAAAGGAAGTGGATATTAAATAATGTGAAACAAAAGTAAGTGACTTAGCAACAGAAAACCAACAGGAAGTGAAAGGCTTGCTAATTAGTCAGTTGGCTTTTAGCTAGTCAGTATGAACTGATACCTCACCAACAGGACTAACCTGGTGAAACCTGTCTCTGCTCTCTCTAACAACAGATGTGCAGTTCAGCCACCAGGTGGACGATGAGCTGCTTCGATTCTTTGAGCGCTGCAGCAGCTACGTGGAAGGCGTCGAGAAGAACCGCACGGCACTGCAGGAAGTGGAGAAGTTCAAACATGGGGAGGAGATGGAGGCGGTGAGAAGGAGGGTGGCTGAGAAGCTGGGTCTCCCCCGACACCGCCTCACCCCAGGTCTGGAATCAGAGAGCAGTGACAGAGTCCAGAACAAACACACACACAATATAGCTCAAACCTTACCTACTAATAGCTAAATGTTAGCCAGGAATGGAAAACATGAACCTAAGAATGGGCAAACGTAACAAGAACCAGACAAGAAATTGCTTTTCCTCTAATGAGCAGGAACAGGGTGATAAGTTAGTCCAGTTTAACTTCCCCATCAGGCTGGCTGTCGTCGACCGTTGAGCCACAGTGTTCACAGTGAGTGGCAGTGGTGAAGTTTGTCCCTCTGTGTCACCCGTAGATCTGGTGGAAGCCGCCTTCTTCCTGTGCTCATACGAGCTGTCAATCAAAACCCTGCACTCTCCCTGGTGCTTCCTGTTCCAAGAGGACGACGCCAAGGTGGGTGATATCATCGGGTGGATGGCGGCTCACAGTGACCTCTGACCTGTGATCGCTGTCTGTTGACAGGTGCTGGAGTTCAAGTCAGATTTGAAGCAGTTTTGGAAACGTTTCCACGGTCATGTGATCAACGGCCTGTCCAGCTGCTCGCTCTTCCATCATGTCTTCAGGACACTGGACAAGGCAGGACGTCCCCGCAGGTCAGGACATGTCAAAAGAAGTCTAATAGTATTTTTTCCCACTTAATAAAAAAACAACTGGTTTAGACCTGGATTACGTCTGATTGTTCAGGTCGACTGACGCTGCACCTGAACCTGCCTCCATCCTGGTCGGTCACGCCGAGACGCTTCTCCCCCTCCTGTCCCTGCTGGGACTCTTCAAAGACAAGATTCCGCCCACTGCCAACAACTACCACACCCAGCACGGTGAGAAGCCCCGCCTCCTGACTATATCACCTAAATTCTGACACTTTGCTCAGTGTTTTTTTTTTTTTTTAAAAAACAGGTCGAAGTTTCCGCAGCAGCCGTATCGTCCCGTACGCTGCCAACCTTCTTTTTGTCTTGTACGACTGCCAGCGTGGGCCACGCCTGCAGCTGCTTCTCAACGAGTCGCCTGTTCGATTCCCAGGTCTGGAATCTGAGGACGCTCCACTGTACCGCGATGTTCGTGCCACGTTACGCCACCTACTGGACGGCTGCGATTTCAACAAGGAATGTGAGGGGAGAGCACCGAGCCGAGCCCCCAACACGGAGCTTTGACAAGTCACGTGATGCCCTGTGGCTCCGCCCACTCTCAGCAGGGACCTTTTTCTTGCCAAAAACAAACTGATTCTTCCGTAGTTTTTTTTTTTACAAAAATGTTTAATTTATTATATTTAATTTTCAGTTGTTTGCGTGTGGAGATTTAGTTTAATTTAATGCTGGTGAAACTTTTGCTCCTCTGATGTTTCTGTGCCTGAAACTTTAAATCAAAGATTTGTTGAATGTTTTATTTAAATCGGTGATGGTTATTTTACGTTTAAGTGTTTTTTTTCCTTTGATGCCAAATATTTGGAAATGAAAGATATTTAAAAACGTTTTGAGAAACACATTAGAACTTTCTTGTGGAATGTATAAAGGACTTGGGATAAAACATTTTTAAATAAAAATGAACAGTATAAAAAGCATTTGACCCAGAAATATAATTCTTTTTTTTATGATAAAACGCAGAAGTCATCATCTGAGAGTGAACCAGCCTTGAGTCTGAAAAATATTACATCGTCAGAAACGTTCCAACAAACAGAATGCAAGTTAGCATGCGTTCACGAAGTACAATGATCACAAACACATCAACATTAAATCAACATTTTAACTCAGGTTTTAATGTTTTTCATCTTACTTGTTGTATGTAACAAGAAGAAATAAATACAAGACAAAACACCATTGACTAACAGAGGAGGTGATGACAATTCAATTAAATACCAACATGAAAACAGTCACTTTGTCATTATGTCGCTTCACTTTAACAACATGAAGACAAACAGGAAGTGACCGTTACTTGAGGGCCTCAGGTGACTACAGCCAATTATTGCTCTACGATGGGCGTAGCTTGATGACTCAGGCAAGTGAGGCCAATGAGGGCGAGCAAGCCCAGTGTTGTCAGCCACTGTCAGATTTACTCCGACAAAGACACAAACCACCAAAGAAAAGCAGAGTCCGATAACTCTGCTGTCATTTTCAGCATTTAAAAAAATGTGAGTGCGACAAACGGAGCTCCGCAAAACAACGACGAGAGTTGTTCAATCGGGCCGTCAAAAATGCAGACAAGGGGCAACACAACCCTGACATAATCTTCTAGTGTTAGCACTTGTGCTAACAAGAATGTAACATGCTAGTGCCCGTGATCATGAGGCACTTGATGTGATCATAAACGACTGCCATAAAATAAATTTGACATGACAAGAAAAAACAAGTGGGGCCGAATGCTCAACGCTAAAGGTGGCTAGCAGGGCTTGGCAAATGTTGCAAAAAGAATGGTAACCAGCAGTATGTGTTAGAAACAAGAACTCGGAACATCTGTGTGGAGACGTTCAATATAATACGACTTTGACGGTCGATTCTCACGCCAACTTTTGGGAAGTTTTTTGGGTTTTTTTGCATCACAGATGAGGCAGAAGAAGAGACCCATAATGCATTTCAGCTTCTGGAAAAATGAGATGGTTGGGGGGAGGATACGAGGGGTGTTTAAAAAAAAAAGGTTGTGTTTATTTACATGATCATCAGAGAAATAATAAGGGTAAAAAAAGGAAAAAAGTAGTAGATTACAGTGGTAAACACCTGGGATCATGTGATCAGTCCAGACCAGTGTGCAGCAGGCCGGTGCTCTGTCCACCGGCGGACTTACTTTTCTTCATCTTACCAATGGATCTCTGCAGGTCCGACTGATGGATGGGACGGATGACATCATCATCATCAGAGACACTGAGAAACAGGAAGCAATGGAAACATCAGGGAACAGCGATGATGTCACAGTCGGCACCAAAGATCAGGTATAAGGTCAGGACCAGAGGTCAGCTGAAGGACACCAGGTGTCAGCTGCTGCCTTTAACTCCAGTCTCATTTCTATGAACCTTACCTGCCATAATTGCAATTTATAGGCAGGAGAGGGCGCCCTTTCGCTGAGTCACTAACAGTTAAAAATTCTTTGAGGGTGGTGCAGCTACAAGAGTATCTGCAGCATCAGGATTATGATTTGGTATCATTTGAATTTTTTTGCCTCTAATATCTACTTTCTAGTCATCATCATATTATTGTTTATATTTGTTCTATCAAGTTCTATCACGACCGCTGCAGGTATCTGTTCCCAGGTGTTGGTGGCGCTCTCGTACCTGTCATCCTGAGTGTGAACAAAATCTCGCACACACAGCAGCGCGGCATCACGACACATCTCTCTGAGGTCACTGCCGGAGAAACCATCTGTTTCCTTGGCGATTTCCAGGAGGTCGAGTGAGGGGTCCACCTGTAGGACAAGAGTGTGAGTGCGCTCAGACACGGACATAACTTTAGCCTGTGGTGTCAGCTGAATAATAAAGATACACTCACGCTCTCGTTCTCAAGAATCAGCCGTAAGATCTGCTCCCTCTGCCGTACACTCTGGAAAACAGAACATCGTGTGATGACACAAACTGATCACAGATGGCAGCTCCTTTGTCCGTTTCAGTTAAAAGTCCCTGTTTATATGAGAAAGTTTGCTTCTGGTGCTTAAAAAAATGACAGACTGTCCCTTTAATACAGAGGTGGTTCTCACCGGCTGGTTGATGTGAAACCTGGTGGGCATCCTCCTCAGGATGGCAGAGTCCAGGTCCTGAGGTCGGTTGGTGGCTCCCATGATGATCACCTGATGTAACAACATTTCACTGTCACTAAAATGGTGACTCTGTGACATCACACTCGACACCATGACATCACATCACAGCTGACCTGACAGTGATAGTCTGTGTCCAGTCCATCCCACAGACTCATGAACTGGGCCTTCATCATGGCCGTGGCCTCGTGGTCCGAGCTGGAGCGGTTCCTGAGGAAGGAGTCTGACAATAAAAAATATACATGTCAACACACTGACACCTGCTGGTCAGAGACAGACAGCGAGTACGACTGTTGTTAGGTTACAGTTCTTTGAGGGACATTTTGCAGGCCCCCACTGAGAGAGCGAGAGAGAGAAAGGAACTAGACTTTGTTTGTTGGAATTAAGGTTGAACTTAGGGTTAGGGTTTATGACTAATATTAGGTAAATAACGGTAATATCTGGGGAGGGAGGAGGCTCTGTGTGTGTACGTGTGTGTGTATAACTGTGCTTGAAAGGACAACGATGCAAGCCAGGAATTAATTAGAGGTAGGAAAAGGAAACAGGAAGTGAGGGGTAATGAAGGCTACAAGGAGCAGAGTGTGGTGTGTCACCTATCTCGTCGATGAAGATGATTGACGGCTGCAGTTTGACAGCCAACGTGAAGACGGCGGCGGCCAGCTTCTGGGATTCGCCGTACCACTTGTCCGTCAACGTGCTCGGCTGCAAGTTGATGAAACGAAAGCCCGCCTCCTTGGCAGTCGCCTTGGCGATTAGGGTTTTACCACAGCCGGGGGGTCCATACAGCAGAACGCCTGTTACCATGACAACAGCATAAGTACAACAGCTGCTGCCCTCTTTGATCAGCCTTCACTTCTCAGCCTTCCTTTCTTACTCTAATGGGTTTGTTCCCTCCTGAGTGAACATCCTTCTAATCCTCCTCCTTCCTTCCTTCACCTCCCACTCATCCTTCTCTTTCCCGATCACTTCTTCCTTCCTTTTCTGTCTTTATTCCAGTTCAGTCTCCTCTCCTTTTTTCCTAACTTGTTTCCTACACTTCATCTTATCTCCTAACATCAGCTTTCTTCTTTATTTTCTGCCCCTAATCCTTTCTACTCATTTATCTTCTAGCTCCTCTCCTTCTATCCTGCCTCCTTTTCCCCTTGCTCTACCTCAACGCCTTTACCCACTTCTCTTCTAGCTCCAACCCCTCTCCTCTGCGAGTGACCTCTGACCTTTGGGTGGCTGCAAGAGTCTGGAGCCCTGGAACAGGTGCCTTTTCTGAACAGGTAGAATCACCGTCTCCTTCAGCTCAGTGATGACCTCATCCTGACCTGCGATGTCCCTCCAGGTGATCTAAGGTCAAAGGTGAATTATAAAAAAAATAATCGGTGAACTGTTCAACCCACTTCAGCTGGGACCTTCTCAGGAGAACCTGTAATTTAGGGAACAGATACCTGCATACTGAGGGGATCCACCAGGTGAGCAGCGATACTCATCTCATACTCGGAGAGTTTCACGTTCTTCACGCCAATCTGACGCATCAGCTTCTCTGCCTGAGATTACCAAAACACACATCATGTGACCCCCGCTAATCATCATCACACAACGCAGACACAACTCAGACTCCACCCACCTGCTTCTGGGCCTCCACCTTCTGCTTCCTGGTGGGGTCAATGGCGTCCACCATCCACTTGATGGTGAAATAGGTGACGGCGCCAAAGATAGTGAGACGAAAGAGGAGGCCGATGACCTCGTTTCTGCCCAGAGGGCGGGCCACATTCTCAACAGGAAGTTCCTTTAGCACCATGATCAGCCAACTGTTGACGAACATCCACCAAAGGAGGAAATCAAAACCAGAACTAGGGGACAGACTCAGCCCCCACCTGATTAGGGTTGGCACTCAGACATTTATCCTTCATTTTATTAATACAGTTTTATCTCATTCTCTACACCAGGATCCAGCTCTGGACTTCACTGACTTATGGATGTTGGATACGCACAGATCCTCCACTGGGCCTTTAGGATTTCTGTCTGGAGCTGAGCTAAACTGTACAAACCAGGTCTATCCATCTACCACATGTCGATGTTCTGTGCTCCTTGGTGTGGATTCTCTCTATTCTCTAAATGCAACAACAAGAATCGCATTCTTACCCTTGTGTTTTTGTTTTTATGGTCTTTCTATTCTACAGAATATCTAAATCTATGATCATTAGTTTTTGAAACCATGTTTTATTTTTCCCGGGCTCCCAGTTCTCTTTCACAGTCTTCCTTTCTCCCGTGTGACATTTTTGTTTCTCCTTCTCTAGTAGCCCACTTTCTCACTTTCCCTCTCCTCTCACGTCTATCCGTAGGGACAAATCGAAAGAAATGTGCGCGGTGTCAGTTAGCCTTATTAGCATTAGCTTGACCTCACGGTTCCCCTCTAAACACGTGACTTAATCAGCAGTGATGCAGTGGTTTCCTATTACAACAGTGTCAGAAATATAAAAGCAAATTGAAAAGTTGGTAATGCAAACCTGGGTAGATCATTTTCAATCATTTAAAAGAGACACAAACTTACCTGCTGTTGCGGTCACGTCAAACTGCTGCACTTCCGGGTCTCTTCTTCTCCTAAGCCCTGAAACTCACTGCTGCCCCCTGTTGTGTTGGTGGTATCGAACTGCATTAGGTCAGAACATATTCCTGCTCATTTGCGTAAAAGGGATCAAAGATTTTTTTCAGAATAGTATTTTTTTGGTAACAAATACTCTGAAAACATTGACCCAATATTTCAAAACTATTTTAAGATATTTGAAAAAATGACTTGGTATGTCAGTACACTGACAGACAACGGCAGTGCATTAACGTGTTACTGTCACTTTCTGTTGTCAATTTCATTTGACAAATAAATCTCATTGACAACGATGTTTTAATTAAATCAAATGACAAACAGCAACATCAAAAAATAATAATTTCAGTAATAACAAAAATAACCATAATCAATTCTTATTTTTAAATGACGTTACCATTTTACATAGACGAACTTTTATTGTGAAGGTACAAATTGGAAGTAAGTCTACAACCTTCTTCCGGCTCTTCCTGCGCTCTAACGCCGCTTGGAGAGATTTTTCTCGCCGCCTGTCTGCGTCCAATCACGGCGTCTTGCAGCCCACAGCAGCCGGGAACACTTCGATTAGAACCAACCGACGTCTGAAGCGAGACCCGGAGGTCCACCAAAGAACGCGCTGCGGATATTTTTTTCCTCGAGCGGACGGAACCTGGAAGCCCAGGCCCGCACAGCGAGCTGGTACGAGGCCCCGACGCCCCCCTTGCTCTGACCCAGAAAATAGGACTGACGATCGGGCTATCCGTATACGAGCAGGCCGGTAGTGTTTTGGCTGCTCCGGGGCTTGCAGTGGTGGCAGCCAAAGGAACCAGATAACTGGGCCGCTTTTCATTTTGAAGCTTATACCATATGAGAACAATCGTTTAGGATATATATTTAGATTTTTTTTGCATAACACTCCCCAAAAGTCTGGACATCGGAGAGCAGGCGCTAGCTTGCTGCAGGGGAGCAGTTAGCTTCCGTCCCCGCTGAGCGCAGCGGAGGCTGCGGACCGAACGCCGCGGCTTTCCGCGGACCGTTTGAGGGTCTCCCGCTGCTCACAGAGACGCTCGTCATGGCGGCCTTAATCAAGGAGATCGTGAGCAGGAAAAAGAGGCGGTACCAGGAGGACGGCTTCGATCTGGACCTGACATGTATCCTTTCACCGCCGCTGCAGCGGCTCTGCTCCGCTGCACCAAACTCCATTCAAAAAAAGCAGCTATTTAACGACACGCTGTGCGCGTGAACAACGGCGTGTGCACGTTTAACGGGAGTTTGTGGATTCAGTGGCGGGCCGTGCAGCTTTTTATAAGGATGAGCAGAGTGAAGATGATGGAAGAGTCAAAGAAATGTATAAAGAACAGCTGATCAGCGTTTCTAGTGACAGGACGATATACGATATTATCGGAATGTGATGACAAAAATGAATGATTGTAAAATATTAGGGCGTTATTTAGGCGCACGCTTTTAACACATGATTAACGTGGGTTCTGTAGGTTTATGTAACGTCTTATTCCTAACCTAATGGCTCAAACCAAAATCATGACCTTTCTTCGACAGTGACGTTTCTCTGACATTACAGTGTTGATCCTTGACTGATTGATGATCAGATATTTATCCGAACATCATTGCTATGGGGTTTCGTGCTGAGCGTCTGGAGGGCGTCTACAGAAACAACATTGACGATGTTATTCGGTAAGATTATGAAGACTGACTTCACCTCCAGATTGACCGAACGAAGCGACTCAAAAATGTTAAAACGTGACTGTTTCAGATTCTTAGACTCGAAGCACAAGAACCATTACAAGATCTACAACCTGTGAGTACTGCTCTGTCCACGAGGCGTCTGCGTCCACCACATACCACTGTGTTCTGTCAGTCCACTGATGATCACACTTACTTCTGTGTCCAGTGTCCTCTGCTCCATCACACTGTCCACAAATGTCTGTAAATGTTTAGTGTCTGTCACGTTCCACCTGTCCATCCAAAAATGTCCACAGTTCTCCGTTTGTCCCCCACCTGTCTTGTGACACCTTTGTCCCCGTGATGACCTCACACCTCTCTGTCCTCAGGTGTGCGGAGCGACATTATGACTCGTCAAAGTTCAACTGTCAAGGTGAGTGACTCACTTGACTAAACTCTGGACACTGTCTGTCTCTGAGGACACCGTCGTCACGCTCGGTCTCACCTTGTCTCTTGTAGTTGCTCAGTATCCGTTTGAAGACCATAACCCACCACAGCTGGAGCTGATCCGACCGTTCTGTGAAGACCTGGACCAGTGGCTCAGAGAGGACGAGCACCACGTCGCAGCCATTCACTGCAAAGCGGGAAAAGGTCGCACTGGGGTCATGATTTGCGCGTACTTGTTGCACCGTGGAAGGTTCCAGGAAGCGCAGGACGCACTGGATTTCTACGGCGAAGTTCGCACGCATGACAAGAAGGTAAACCCTGCCCCCTGCTATGGTCTGTGGCTGTGTCGTGGTCCTGGACTGATGTGAGGTCAGCTGTGCAGTGTTAGCGGCTGTGGTTGGTCAGTGGATTTAGAGTTTGTTGGGTCAGAGAGGTTGTAAGCGAAAGGTTTTTGGGTCAGACGACCTAGGGTCAAGGTTAGAGGTCATCAAATCAGAACTCACATCAAAGACATTGGCTGGCAGGTCAAAGGTCGTTGGCTCTCAGCCCATAGATGAGCATCAGTCTGATGTGCTCTGGCCAGAGACACTGCACAAAGGTGGACTCAGTTCTGCAGAAGGGTCAGTGGGAGGAGCCAGACGAGGCTGGGCCTGTGGTCTGATTGGACTGTTTGTGTGTTGTCAGGGCGTGACCATCCCCAGTCAGCGCCGGTACGTGATCTACTACAGCTGCCTGCTGAGGAACCAGCTGCAGTACAAACCCGTGGCTCTGCTCTTCCACAAGATGCTGTTCGAGACCGTCCCCATGTTCACCGCCGGCACCTGCAGTAAGACTGCGCCCACTGCACCACGCACCACACACCACACAAACCTCGACACACAGACACCCAACCGTCTGACTGTGTGGCTGTGCTCTGCTGCAGATCCTCAGTTTGTGGTCTACCAGCTGAAGGTGAAGATCCACACCTCCAACCCCACCCACACACGCAGGGAAGACAAGGTCATGCTGTTTGAGTTTCCGCAGCCACTTCCTGTGTGTGGTGACATCAAGGTGGAGTTTTTCCACAAGCAGAACAAGATGATGAAGAAGGTGGGGCTTTTCTGACTTACTGCCCCTCCTCTTTGGGTTCTTTTCACTCTTTTTACTCTGTTTAGAAATCTAATTATCTCAAGAAATGAACGATTCGCTTTGTAGTTTTGAAGCTACTAACTGAGCAAAAGTCTTTGTTTGGCCTGAAGTCAGAGTGATCCTTTTGTCATATTTGTGATAAAAAGTTGTCCCATCCTAAAATGACCAAAGTCCTCCGTCCCCTCTGTGTCCTCGTATGTTGTCTTCTTTCTTTTAGGAGAAAATGTTTCATTTCTGGGTCAACACCTTCTTCATCCCTGGACCAGAGGAGAACCAGGAGAAACTGGAGAATGGCAGCACGGGGGCGCTGCGGGACACGACCAACAGGACACACCAGAATCCAGGGCTAGTGACAAGTGCAATGACGAGTGTAGACGGCAACGACCGAGACTTCCTGGTCCTCACTCTGAACAAGAACAACTTGGACAAAGCCAACAAGGACAAGGCCAACAGGAACTTCTCGCCCAACTTTAAGGTGGGACTGGCATCTGTTCACGATAAAATAAATGTTATTCATTATTATAAGAGGACTTGTCATTAGCTCACATTTTGGCTAACATTACACACACCACTACACACACAACCAAATGTGCATTTAACCCATCACCAAAGTGAAGAGTGGGCAGCAGTGTGTGTGGACGGTGCCATGATCAGAGCACCTCAGTGGAAACTGGGCAGCTGGTGGACTGGAACCTGAAACCTCCCAGACCCAAGTCTGCTTCCTTAAGTCAGCACTGCCCAGATGGTGACTAATAAAAAATGTTGGATAAAAGTGGGAACAGTCATTCACCAGGGAATAAAAGTCATAAAACGGGGACTGAGCCTGTGTGTAAGACCTCTGCCTCCACTCAGGGATGGACCAGTGCTGAACCTTGACCTCTGTGAGCTCCCTGTTCTGTGGGTTCTCGCTCCTGATGTTCTCTTCCCTCCTCCTAGGTGAAGCTGTTCTTTACAAAGACGGTGGAGGAAGGAGCTAACTGTGACGCCAGCAGCACGTCAGCCTCCGTGACCCCGGACGTCAGCGACAACGAGCCGGATCACTACCGCTACTCCGACACAACAGACTCGGACCCGGAGAATGAGCTGTGTGACGACGACGACCACGACCAGATCACGAAAGTCTGACCCACTAACACACAGTTACATATGTGTTTATACACACAGTATGTATGTACATATACATATATATTTGTATACACACTCATGAAGCCCTGCACTCAGGCTAACTGCAGACACCAGGGGACTACGGACCGGAGCTGATCTCAAAGACTCTGATCCGTGAGCTCGGATCAGGATATAAGACACACCCCCTTTCCTTACGCTTCATGGTGCACACCTGGACAATCACATGACAAGGCGGTTGGACTCGATGTACGGCGAAGGGACAAAAAGACCGATGAATGGACAAGTCCAGGGGTAAAACTTGAATACGGAGTAGACGTCTTTAGTGAGGAATCGTCCTTGCCCGTGTCTCCTTCCATCCTCCCTTTCCTTCCTAACCAGTACACTTCACATCCACTGTGCGGTTTCAGACCACTCATCTCATTGTGCACTGAAGTCCAGGCTGCAGAACTGTAGCTGGTCTCACACACTGTGTAAGGTCCAGTAGAACAAGTGTCCATCAGTCTGGACCAGTGGGATCAGCCAGGTTCAGTCCAAACCCTTGGAGCTGGGACCGTTGGCACCAGTTAGTGGTTCCACAGTGTAGTGATTATCATGCCGGCATACACATCTGCCTTACACACAGAAGGTCCTGGGGTCGAGCCCCACAGGAACCACGTGCTCGGTGCCTCCAGGGGGCAGCCTGTTGCAGCAGATCTGTTAAAAAAAAAGAATTGTGGGATCAAAAAAGTTTAAACCCATCTGGATTTGTGGACTTCAACTTGGTTTAGGTTTGAACGAGCCTGAATCCCTTAGCTGGACTGGATTAGAACCCAACTACAATTGACCAGCTGTTCAGTTGGTACCGATCAGGGACTAGATGAACTGTGCCTGGCCTGGCTGAGACAGGACTGCAGTGGTCTTAGTTGGACTGGATCAGCGCACAATGAGAAGGAAAGAGATTTGGTTTTGAATGTGACGAGGCTGCAGCTGTCAATCATGTTATTTCTACAATCGTTCTCACCAATGTCTTTTTCTTCTGCGATCAGTCATGAAGCTAGCATCTGAACATTCCTACAATGCACCTACTGCTAACACCAGACCACGGGCTGCTGGTGTGGGGGTGGGGGCTGCACTTAATCAACCCTGATAAAAACCAAAGGCCCTCCAAAAATAAAACCCCATGTGATGGAGTTCCTTGCGACACCACAGGGTGACTATGACTTAGTCCAACTGCCCTGTTGCCCGCTTCGGTTTGTACAACATATTCAGGTTGTAGACGTAGCTAAGACCTCAGGATTCACCAATCCCAATGTTGGCTAATGTTCAGGGGTGTTGCTAGACGGGGGCAGATGAGGGCCGGGGCTTACGTCCCTTGAGCCATTGCCAACAGCACTTCAACTTCAACGCTTCTTTTCTCGTACATCGAAGGCCAAAGAGTGAAAGTCTCTGAGCTGAAAATTCACTTGTTCTCGATTTGTCAACCTGATTGGAGGTTAAGGGTCAGGTGACCTTTGTGTCACGACAGAAGGTGAGATTATTTTGCAGACAGACTGAATCCGAGCGTCCCTCCCAGATCTCGTACTCAAGAGTCAAGTCCACTCGGACAGAACCAAGGTTTTGCACTTCGGTCACATGGTCTACGCTTTCATCCAATTTTGACTGAAACTTAGAATAAATGGGTGCTAGCCAATCGAGTAACATTTACATATCTGAGCTCTGACGGTAAAACGTCTGGGGATAGTTGTTGGACCAGAGCCGTTTCCTCGGGGCGGTTTCCAAACCTAGAAATGGTGCTTCAAGAACATTAACATCTGGACAAGGACAGTGATGATTAGCTAACGCTGCCTTTAGCACAGGGTTGTCAGGCCCCGCCCACCACCAGGCTCAAGTGTACAGTGAAGGGCAAACGTTTTAGGCAGGTGTGGACATTTACTCCATATCGCCCCCTCATAGATTAAATCTTTTTTGCCCTGTACCCGAAACAGTTGGTGCTCCCCACAGTGGCCAGAAGTCAAGCCACCGTCCCTGGTGGACCAGGTCCAGGGAGGGTCCTAAATGTAGGCACTTCCTGAAACTTTTGCACATTAATTGCACTGTACATAAGGGTTCTCTGGTTCTGTTGGGAACAATCTGGACTTTGGACAAACCTGAACAGTTGGCACGTTTTTACTTCGGTTTGGACTAGTTGACATCAGTGTGGTCTACTTAGTAACATTATGGATTAGTCAGTACAAGTATGAAACAAGTCTTTAACTGGTGTCACTTATGTTCAGTTGACAACCATTCTGGTTCACTTGGTTGGAGTCAACATGGAAATGCGTGGACGGTTTGGATCCAAACTGAAATCCAGAGGTTTGACTCCAAACTTGGTTCTGTTGAGACCAGTCAGTATCAGTTGTCACAATATTGGTATCAATAGAACCAGCCTAGGCACTAGTCTGGACCAGATGGCACCACATTTCTGTGGTTCTAGTCTCGATCTGTCTGTACCAGTTTTGGTTACGCTGCCATCAACCTGGACCAGTCTTGGCTGCTCCTTGTGCCAAAATTTCAATTTCAAATGGTGGCGCTGTTATTCAATGAAAGCGCAGGCAGTCAAAGAATTGTTCCTCAAATTTGTGGAGGATGTAAAAGTTCTGTGGAACCTGAAGGACGTGAAAGTCTGGAAAATATTGAAAAATAAACGTCTTTACTGCAGTTTTCTCTGGTAAATACCAACGTTCACAAACTTACTAGGGACGCCATGTGGACAGACAAGGTTTTTACATTTCAAAATGATTAGCAAGGTTGACAGTTATACCTCGCAGATGTTCAGGAAACTTTCTTGCAATTTTCTTTTCACAAAACAATCATTTATTGGAAACTAGCTAGCCATTTAAGCTAATGCTTCACTAACTGTGTGCGTCTGTTGAGTTTAAGTATTTAAAATTCATTACAAGAAGTTTAATGGACACGTGTATGTTAATGTCCGAGCATCTTGAAGCTAATGCTAATATATCATGCCATCATTTGGAAGCTAGGTCCTAGGTCGTGCTTTCACAATAACATTGTGCAGTTAAAGCTAATAAATACCAAGTCCAGTTGTCATGCTAAGGTCATTAAGCTAAGCCTGCAGGTCTTCAATTATGCTTTTGTGCTAACATCTTAAGATCTAGCTAACGTGTCTGGTATAACATTTACACTAAAGAGCTAATGCTAACGGACATCGGGAGTGATGTTTATATCTTGAGGTTAAAGTCAGCAGGTCTGTGTTGAATATTACATGTTAGCATCTTAGAGCTAAGCTCAGTGTTGAAAGTTACAGGTGATGCTTTTATGCCGCCAGCATGAAAGTTTCGGGTCATGTCTCGATGCTAACAATCAACAATGAGGCTAAAGTGAACACATCCGATCAAGCCTTTGTGTTAACATTTTGTGGTCAGGACAATGCTGTTCCCATATGATGCTAACGTCATAAGGAGCAAACAGGTCCTTGGAGTTGTAACGTTGTGATGCTAAAGCAAACAAGTCTCTAAATGTGCTTTCATATGGGCATCTTCAACTAAAGCTAACATGTCCCTGATAACGCTTATTAGAATAAAGCTAACAGGTCAGGAGTCACGTTTACATGCTAACATGCCAAGGCATATGCTGTTGAGCTTCGGGCCAGGTTTTCACTCTAATGTCCTGTGGCCTAAGCTAACAGGTAGCATCATTAGGCTGTAGCTATCATGTCTGAAATTATCATACTAACATAATGAGGCTTAAGCAAACAGGTTCTGTTGATGTCGTGGTCATGTCAGTCACATGACCAAAGTCCAATACAGGGAATAAAACATTGAACTGTCCTGTTCAGAACATTGATCAGTGATCATTGACCAGTATTGATCAGTCGTACAGTGACAGATGTGGTTCATTACGATTGTGTTTTTGTTTTGATCAGGTAAACTTGTAAAACTGACTCCTCCCCCTGATGTTTTAACCCCACCCCCTTATTTTATAATGAAATGAATAAAACACTGTCAAAGTGAATAAACTATTTATAAACAGCTGCTGGTTTCGACTCGCTGGTGTCTTTGTCTTAACACGAATGAAATCAAACGCAGTTTAGTCGAAATCTTTACTTTGGTTCAGGCTTAGTGGGTTATGTTTGAATCGACTTGTTCACACTTGGACCTGGATGTCCTGAGTTAGATTCAGGATAAAACGATTAAATATCTAAAATTGGTTTAATTTCACTCTCGGTTTGATGAAGATTTTAATCTGGTTTTGTCAAATCTTCTTTGTTTAACATTAACTTGACTGAATCGTGACTTCATGTTAATCTAACTTAAACCTGATTAAAAGGTTAGGCCGAGTTCAGTTAGTTAGAGCTGGGTTTACAGCAGAAGAAAAGAAACTAAATTCCATTTATTAGAACTAACCTGGTTTATTACTGATCAGGTGACTTGATACATACTGATTATTGATTAGTGATGGGACTTCTGATCACACCCTTCAGCGCTCCCAATGCACTGAGTGCAGATTCCACACAGCCGTCAAAATTGGAGTGAGTGAAGGCGTCGCCGGCGAGCAGCAGTGGCGGTTGGTCCGAAACGGTCATGTGACCTGGACTGTCTGGGACTGCTGTCAGAACCTGTGTGAGGAGGGGTGAGAAGATCAGTCGACCAGACAAGAGACGTTCAGTCCAGTGGGACGATTGCTCTTCAGCCCACCTGGGAGTAACGCCACTTCTGACACTTGACGCTGATAGGCTGAGGCAGATCTGGGAGGAGCCTCTGCAGCTCCTCCACAATGACTGGCTGGACCAGGTCCTTGTCCTGGTCGAGGTGCTGGAGACCAAAGTCAACGCTGGTGTGAACAACGAGGGAAGGACCCAAACCTGGAGAGTCTGAGCAAAAAGACTGGGTCAGGGTTTTAAAAGGCCCAGTCAGGGGACGGACGTAGACCTCATAGGACAGAAGTACAGGTGAGAGGACACCTGTGTGAGGAGGGGTGAGAAGATCAGTCGACCAGACAAGAGACGTTCAGTCCAGTGGGACGATTGCTCTTCAGCCCACCTGGGAGTAACGCCACTTCTGACACTTGACGCTGATAGGCTGAGGCAGATCTGGGAGGAGCCTCTGCAGCTCCTCCACAATGACTGGCTGGACCAGGTCCTTGTCCTGGTCGAGGTGCTGGAGACCAAAGTCAACGCTGGTGTGAACAACGAGGGAAGGACCCAAACCTGGAGAGTCTGAGCAAAAAGACTGGGTCAGGGTTTTAAAAGGCCCAGTCAGGGGACGGACGTAGACCTCATAGGACAGAAGTACAGGTGAGAGGACAGACTGAAGTCAGAGGACCAACAGACAGAGGGAGAGTGGGTCTTACCTGCGTTACGTTTCCGTGAGTCCACTGCGATGTACCTGATGCAGCTGCTGTCGCTGACGTACCGAGCAGCCCACGAAAAACTGAAGTTAACGTCCGGAGCGAAGAAGAGAGCCAGGGCGAAACGAGACGAGTACACAACACTGTCCAACTGCTCCCTCTGTTGGATGGACAGCACTGTGACAGATACGGACTGGTCTGAAAATGATGCATGTAACACCTGGGACACATCTACATGAACCAAGATCCATGAAATCCAAATGAGTAATTATGGAATAATTATGGCCCATTGTGTGGGCCACATCTTTGGACCAAAACAAGATGGTCTACACTGTGTATTCAGTGAGCCTCAGCAAAGGAAAGAAACAGTGTGTAAAGTCCAGGAACTCAGTGATTTTAGTTCAGACCAAACCCCATAGAGAAAATCAGTGATTTTTAGCTCAGACCAAAGTCCATAGAGAAAATCAGTGATTTTAGTTCAGAGCAAAGTCCATAGAGAAAATCAGTGATTTTTAGCTCAGACCAAAGTCCATAGAGAAAATCAGTGATTTTAGTTCAGAGCAAAGTCCATAGAGAAAATCAGTGATTTTTAGCTCAGACCAAAGTCCATAGAGAAAATCAGTGATTTTTAGCTCAGACCAAAGTCCATAGAGAAAATCAGTGATTTTAGCTCAGACCAAAGTCCATAGAGAAAATCAGTGATTTTAGCTCAGACCAAAGTCCATAGAGAAAATCAGTGATTTCAGTTCAGACCAAAGTCCATCGGTAAAATAAAAAAATGCCTTTAACCAGTGAAGACACAGATGATGATGGCAGCAGCAGTGGATCAAAAACTGCTGTGATTTCCTCTGGGCTGTGTTCTCTGTGGTAAAGGAATGCTTTATGGTTAAAGGGCAGATTTATGCCTGTCATCTCATCTCAGTTGGATTTATGATGGTGTTTTTAATCTCGCAGGACCAAATACACAGACACACACAGAAACCTCGATGTGCACAGGAAATGGGCGCTGTCCTCTATCAGCCAATCAGATGAGACGAAGATGACATCATTTACCCTGAGAACTGCGAAGCACAAGGCAAACCACCAAGCTGAGATTTGTGTGCGCACGAACAGATAATGGGACGACTCTGCCCTCGTGTGGTGTTAAAACGACAGTGCAGCCAATTTTGATTGCAGTAAAAACGATGGATCAAATAACGATCAAATAACTTTCATCACGTGATCAAATCACACACACATTCATTAACAATAGCGCTCAGTGTCACGTGATCCCGTTAATGTGCGAGTTGAACCAATATCAGTTGATCAAAATAGACACTTCATCACAGAGTAAGAAATAAAAATCATCATTTTAGGCAAATACAAACTAAGTTTTCAAATAAAAGAAAATCTCTCTTTGTCATGTGACCAAAGCCCTGACCAAAGTACATATTTTATTGATCAGCTGACCACTTGTACACATATTACACATATATTAATGTTAATTATTAAATTAATTATATGAAATAATAAATTATTTAATACAATTAAATAATGACATAATAATAATTAATGATATTAATGATATGAATGAATATTATTGTAGATCAGTAGTTAATCTGAAAGCAGGTGTGAAGATGCAGGACACTCACGCTGTCCCAGGTCTCCCTGCAGCTGCAAGATCTGAGGGACCGGCATGGTGAGGACCACAGCATCAAATGTCTCTCTGTCTCCAGCTTTTCTCTGCACCTCCCATGATGCACCACGGCAGTACAGACCTGTCACATGGCGATCAAAGAACAGCTCAGCTCCTGAAACAGAAACATCAACACTCAACCGGGACAGCTCTGACTTCAGGTCATTCAAATGTCCAAAGATGACATAGATGGGCGGGACTTACCAGCTTGTGACAGGAAGTGTTTGACCAGGCTGCACGTGCCGCCGGGCGCCACATAGTTTTTACTGCCTTCAGTCTGTCTCATGCCCTCGATGCGAGCGATGAGCGGCTGCAGGACACCAGAGGAGAGCAGCTCTGAGTAGAAGCTGCGCACACACACACGTGCACACACACACACACACAGTGTTAACAGTGACAGAAAAAGCTCCTTCTTATTATTCATTTATTTTCTGCAGTCTGACGTTGGTCGAGCCAATCATCATCAGGTGGGGGTGGGGCGAGAGCCATTCACACCTACGGTCAGTTCACAGTGAAAATGACCCAATCCCCAATCTGCATGTTTGGAGACTGTGGAAGAACCTGGAGAACCTGGAGAACCTGGAGAACCCCTCCCCGCACTCGTGTGTGTGTGTGTGTTATACCTGTGGTGTGACTTTGCATAGGCCACTGTGGCAGTGATATACTGTGCTCCAAGGTCAGCAGTGTGAGAGCAGGGGTCGGGAGGTCGACTGGTGGACATGCGTCCTCCTGTGGAAGACAAACACACCTGTGTCTCTCCAGTCCACCAAACCAATAATGACACGGTGACGTGTGAGTAAACTGGAGACACACTTTCAGTGTTAGACCTTCATGGGAGGTGAAGAAATGTTAACAACGTTCCGTACTTCCCTCAAAACCTCCCCAAGGAATTAGTCAAGTTCTATCTATTTAACAAATGAATGAAGAAGTTGTGACGCGAGACCTTTTGAGTTTGAGCTCTAAACTAGAAGATGTAGAAGTTCTGATTGGAGCCTTAGTGCGAATTGGAGACACGCATGTGTCAAGTCAGAGACAAACATGTCGGTGAAAGTCAACCCATCTTTGAAGAAATTCATGAAGCGATACTCGTTCTGAGGCAAGTGTTTCGGAACAGTCAGCTAATATTGGAACCACCTGTGTTCTAAGAGACTCACCTGAGCCACGAGCTTTGTCCCAAACCACTATCTGGACTCTGTTTTGCAGTTCTCTCCTCAGCAGGCAGGCACACACACTTCCGGTTAGACCGGCACCAACGATCAAAACGCGTGACATTGTATGTCGGAACCGCAGAATCAAACAAAAAACAGGAGTGTTGACCCAATCCACATCAGAGTGTGTCGACTCTCACAGCTGCTCAAGTCATACCCGCCTCCTGTGTTACGAAACGTCCGGAAAGGTCGACACTGAAACATCCATACTTTCAAAATAAATCTATTTTCCAAAGGTTTTGGGCTCACTTTAGGTTTAATGATGTTGATTAAAATGCACTGCAGGAGAAGTTAAACTCACATGACAAATATTATGTCCATTTACGGTCTGCAACAAAATAAAATGGGGAACAATAACTAAATATCTGTCTCTTATGGCCAATCACATGACCTGAACTAAGTGACGTCACTTCCGCTTTGTCCCCCACGGCTCGGAAGTTACTGGCCGTAGTTTTTCAGTCGGATGTGGAAGCAGCGAACGCCCAGGTGAGAACGCGTTACTAACGCTTTATTACATTTGTTATTTTAATAGGACAGACGACACTGTAGTAAAAGTGGGACAAACAATGTTCAGGTGATATTTAAATACAGAACGGACTGTGAGAAAAACAACAAACAAGAGAAAAAGACAAAAGAAATAAAGCGAATAATACACAGTGAACAGAACTGACTATTTCCTAAAAAATAATAGAAAGAATAACAATAAAACAAACAGGTCTTGGTAAAAACAAATTACACTATATAATTTAAAACTGTTATTTCGGCCACAGCCACAGCTGCTCCCTCTTCCTTAAACTATTGTTTTTTTTTAAATCAACTCAATTTGCAAAACACATTTAGACCCATTTCTCAGATGTGCGTGTGTGTGTGTGCGCAGATCATGTTGTGTGTAGTGGTGTGTGTGTCCCTCTTTGGCCTCGTCCACACTGGACCCACAGATGTGCCGAGGCCACTGGACGTCCACCGACACTCTCCTGAACCCGTCTTAAGACTGGACCCTGAAGTTCACATGAACGTTGTGAGTAAACCAGCACCAGCACACAGGCTGCTACCTGCTAATCACTTTTACTATAAAATTATTTTTTTTAAATAAAATTGTCTTGTAAATTGTCTTACTTTAAATATATATATAATATTACTTTATATCAGCGGAAGTGCACATACTTTTCTTATAGACTGAGACTTTTATTTTGAAATTTACAGTGCTTTATCAGATGTGTAAATACTGAAGGACTCTGGCCTGGATAGGTATTTACTGATTAATAAATCACATGGTTGCTCTCTCTCTCTGTGTGTGTGTGTGTTCAGACAGAGATAATCCGACACTGGGGTTACACAGCGGAAGAACACGAGGTACTGACAGAGGACGGTTACATCCTTAATGTCAACAGGATCCCACATGGACTGAAACAAACTCCAGGTCAGGTTCTACTGTCTCTGTGGGGTCCAGGTCCTGGTCAGACTCCGCAGTCTTAACCCTGGACTGGTTCAAATTAGAGAAGTTGAAACTTTCACTTCCTGTTTTTGAGCCGCTGAACCTTTTCTGACATTCCACTTGTATTTAACTGGACATGACCCAGTCACAGTCACAGTCACACTGTGTCAGACCTGGTCCTAGTTTCGAGTCTGTGTTTTTTGCAGGGCCACGTCCAGCTGTGTTGCTCCAGCACGGCCTCCTAGCCGCCAGCAGTAACTGGATCACCAACCTTCCAAACTCCAGTCTGGGCTACGTCCTGGCCGACGCTGGCTATGACGTTTGGCTTGGAAACAGCCGAGGAAACACGTGGTCCAGGAAACACCAGACACTCCAGCCAAACCAGGACGAGTTCTGGAGGTTCAGGTACCAAAGAACTCACCTCTGTGACATCACTACATAGTTTTTTGACATCTTCACCCATAGCTTTGAGGACAGGACATGCCAGACAATGACATCACGGTTTATCTCTATGACATCACTGTGACATCATTGTGTTTTGACTTCACCACCTAAAGTCTGTTGTGACCAAAATCTGCATGACATCCCCTGGCTGCAAATGTAAAATTTCACCCTCATGACATCACCATACCATCATTGGTTTGGTTCGCTGTGATGTCACTGTCTGACATCATCAACTCTCCTGCAGTCACGATGAAATGGCTCTGAAGGACCTTCCTGCCGTCGTGAACTACATCCTCAAGGTGACGCAGCAGGAACAGATCTTCTACATTGGACACTCGCAGGGGACGACCATAGGTGAGACCCACACGCTCATGCACAAACACACACACGGTCATTTGTGTGTGTGTCATGTCAGACTGACTTCCAGTGTCATTTCCCAGCATTCATGGCTTTTTCTGCGCTGCCTGAACTGGCCAGTAAGATCCGCCTCTTCTTCGGTTTGGCTCCAGTCGCCACCACTGCCTTCACCAGCAGCCCCATGACCAAGATGGCGGTCCTGCCAGAGTCACTCATCTGGGTACGACCTGCTAACAAGCTAACTTGTCTGCTAAGGTGTTCCCTTGAACTTTACACCTGTTAACAGATTCACCGACTGACTGTCTGTGTTGTATTGATGTTGTTTCGCTGCAGACGCTGTTCGGTCGCCAGGGCTTCCTGCCCCAGAGTGACCTGACCGAGTGGTTGGCGGAGCACGTGTGTGGTAAAGAGCATCTGAGTGAACTGTGTGGAAACCTCTTCTTCGTCCTCTGTGGCTTCGATGAGAAAAACCTCAACATGGTTTGTGTACCAAACAGGTAATGGGTCATGTGACCCGTTCTTCCTTAACCACAGTCTGGTTGTGTTTCCAGAGCCGCACCGCGGTCTACACCACACACTGTCCTGCTGGGACGTCAGTCCAGAACATGGTCCACTGGGCTCAGGTGACATTCAGACTAAGACACATGTTCAAAGAGAACCTGTTTGACTAAAGTTGACACCTCCTCCCCTCCCCCGCTCACACGCTGTTGTCCTTCTGTGTCTCAGTCTGTTCACGGAGAGAAACTGATGGCGTTTGACTTTGGATTTTCAGGAAACATGAAACATTACAACCAGGTGAGACCAGAACTCAAACACAGCTGTCTGTGGAATAAATACACAAGTTACAAAGGTCATGTCTTCTGTCTCCGTCCCTGGCCTCAGTCCACTCCCCCTGAGTACCATGTCCAGAACATGAAGGTTCCTACAGCCTTGTTCTCTGGAGGACAGGACACACTGGCAGACCCCAAAGATGTGGCGGTCCTCCTCACCCAGGTGAGTCCACTGCTTCACAGTAGAACCAGGTTTAGGACGGATGTGGATTATGTTTCCAAGTCAGGATTAATCCAGAGAATGGTGACCAAAACTTGGGACCAAACCCCTGGCTCGTGACAGCTTGCTTGTACACAGAGAAAAGCCAGGTTTAAACACAGATATTCAGCACTAAATAACCCATTAATGTGCTCTTTTTGATGAAAGGATGGATTTTAGAGTCAGAATCTGAGCTAAGATCAAAGCTAAGATTAAACCCAGTGTATTTCGAACGGACTTTTTTAAAACCAAGAAAACAGGAATATCCTAGGTTTTTCCAAGTAATGAAAATGGGTTTTTACACATTTAATCTGAGGAGGATCTAGAACCACCAATATTTCAACACAAGGCAGTTTTAACCCTTTAGGCTGTCCAGTCGGGAGAGAAGCTACTAAGGAACATAAGCATTAGGTGTTCATGTCTTACTGGGGTTTGTCTCCTGTGTCCGTCTTCCTGTCCTTCACAGGTGTCTCAGCTGGTCTTCCATCAGCACATCCAACACTGGGAACATCTGGACTTCATCTGGGGCCTGGACGCTGCTGAGCAGATGTTTCCCTCCATCCTAAAGCTGATGCAGCAGTACCACTAGAGGACCACAATACCACAGCCAGTAGATGGTGCTGTTTTTGTAGATAAGGTTGTGAGGAGTTCAAGTGAACCAGAAAAACCTTTGACGCTTCCATTTTTAAATTTTTACTGTGAAGGAACGTGACAGGAACAAACAATACTACATGTTTATTAACATGTTTACAAACATGTTAATAAACATGTGAGTGATAATACACACTTGTTACTCTGTGTTTACTCTGCCTATCAACTTATTATACATTTTTAGATATTTTAAACTTTTTATGAATTTCAAAATGCTTCTAAACCTTTTAGCTAACACGTTAGCACCATTTGATTACTAGTTTATTTAAAATGAAGACTTTAAGGCTTTTTAGCACATAATAACATGTTTATTGGCAGATAAGACGTAGATGATGATGTGATAGATGTTATTACAGCCTCTAAACATGCTATAACGTGTTATAACACAATAATATGCTTACGGCACATAGCATAGCACATACAAAATGTTTACACAGCATAATTTATTATGCTAAAAAGGGTGTGTATCGTGTTATAACATGTTTATAAGCATGTACCGTGATGTTATTACAATCTCCTAACGTACTTTGACATGTGATAGACCAATGTTTATGAGCACATAGTAATAATACCTCACATATATTTGAACGTGTTTGTTTAAATGTCAATAAACATGTTATGCAATAATAGCCAATGTTAATAATCATGTAATAACATATTTAAGATGCTGTATTATAACATTGACATGTGTTGACATGAAAATAACTAAAACGTGGACAGTCTGTCCTTTAGTCAAAGTGTCTTAATTAATTATGCTGCTGAGATTGTGTGCGGGGCCACATGACATTTTCCTGATCACTTGAATTGTCTTAACATGTGATTTAGTTTCTGTTCAACTGATTGACTTTTTAACCTGTTTTGAATTAAATCCAAGTCCACAACCATGACTCTGGTCCAGTGTCCATCACTGTGTCTTCAACATGTAAATGATCTTGTTGAACTTTAGTCTGGTGGCGATGTCCAGCGGTGTCTCTCCATCCTGCAAAAGAAGACAGAGACAGCATTCAAACCTATGACACCCCAGGTCTCACAGTCTGTCCCCCACTGAGCGTCCTCTTCATACGTACGTGGTTCCTGAGGCCGGTGTCTGCGTTCTTGTGTAGCAGCAGAGGAACCAGGCGATGACTTTTCCTCTGACAGACGTAGTGGAGTGCAGTGTTTCCTTTCTAAGCGCACACACACACACACATACACACCACATACAACGATCAGTGTGTTACATTAGTGACAAAAACAAACTCTTTTATTCTTTAACACACAACAACTGTTAGAAAATAAAACATGTTCAGGCTCAGGTCGTTTACAGCTCGAACCCCGACCCCCACCAAACTCCACAGAGGACATAAGAAAGCAGGACATAGAGGCTACCCATGACCTTCTGCCCCCTGTGGTCAGTCAGTGTACTGTAAATAAAGATTTTCTATCAGTGAAAAAGCTGTACCCTTTATCTGAGGTCACCACATCAGTGGTCTAGAAGTAGTAACAGAAGGGGGCGCCCCAACCAAATTTATCTCCACTGCAAATGCAAGATGTGAACTCACATAGTCGACAGCGTTGACGTCCACTGGACTGCTGAGGACAGTCTCCATCAGCCGTACTCTCTGTCTCTGCTTCTGTAACTGTGGCAAACACACACATGCACACAGTGAAAAGAGCAGTGACCTTTGACCCCCAGTAAGGCCTCAGTGCCGTGGATCATCTCACCATGAGGAAGTACCCCAGCAGCAAGATGGGCATCAGGACAGTGATCATCAGATAGTCCAGCAGAGAAAACGTCCTCTTGGACACATAGTGAAGACATGTCCTCTGTTTCTAAAAGAACAAACATACACACACACACACACACCTGTGTCAGTTAGCGTGAACCAATCAGACTTGAGTCTGCACCAGAGTTCAGAGGAAGTTAACCCTGTCCTGGTTCAAGTGGACCAAACAGCTCTGGTATGACTGATCACTGAAGCAGATGACATCATGAGGTCGTAGTTACCTTATTGGTCAGATTGACGTCAGCGTGGTTATCCAGCAGGTACTTGACTGTTGGCAGTTTGCCTCTGCGACAGGCAGCGATGAGGGGAGTGTCTCCGTTGTAGCGTTCCTGGACGTTTAGATTCTTAGGGTTGTCTTTCAGGAGGTGGTATACTCGATGGACATCGCCATCATACGCTGCCTGACACGTCGGCTACAGGAGCAGAGTCAAAGAGAAGGACATTGAAGAGACATGGAAGAGTGAGGCAAAACACCAGAAGTGAAGAAATGTTTTCCATGAGATGAAGGGGCAAAAAGAAAAATAAGAGAGCGTACAAATAATGGGTGAGAAGAAGAGACAGACACTCAAAACAGTAAAGACACTGAAACTGGAGACAACGGAGCAAAAAGCACAAATAGAGTAAAACATGGACAGAGACAAAACAGACACAATAAGAACAGGTGACAAAAGACAAAAAAAAGATATAAAACAAAACATGAGACAAAAAAGGACTCATAAAGACATACATAAAGACAAAATACTATGACAGATAAGACACAAAACAGCAAATGGAGTAGAAACAAAAACAGAAACTAAGAGAACTAACAGCAAAAAAGACCAAAATAAAGAGACAAGAAAGGCTAGAGGTCAAAACAACAAACAAAACATCGTGTACACGAGTCCGGAAGGAGACAAAGACACAGACAGCAGATCAGATGATCGTTCCATTTGACAGGAAAATGTGTTTTTACAAAGACATTCTGGGCTCAATCCTGGGCTACGATGAGTGGAGATAGACACAGAAAAGCTGACCAAGGACTTCCTGTCCATAGATAGAACTGACACCAAGAACAAAATAGACTGATGCTGTGTGTATGTGTGTGTGTCCTCCAGTGTCAGTGTCGAAGTGAAGCCGACCCACTGACACCTGTGTTCAGTTAGAGTGGGTGTGAACACACCCTCAGGTTTTTTGCTCTTGTGTAAACTCAACTGAAAATAACTGACACCAGCAAAGAGGAACTAAAACTACACAAAACAAAATAAAAACCAAAAAGAAGCAGAACTTTGCGTCAGAGTCCACATTAAAACACACTTTACGTTAGATGTACAGGTGTATGTGTTCGTTTTGTTCGTAAAATAACGTCTTCTTTCATCTGACGTCACACTCGTTCTTTTTTATTCAAACCGCTTCCACTGTGGTTGTGTCTCTCGTTCAATAAACTAAACTTAAATAGACTTGAATGACTGAATGTTTTCAACTCACACATAAGCAGGTTCTAAATTAATTATTAACATTAAAAGACGAAGAATTTTAAACAATTCTACCGAAGAGGTAGAGTTGTTTTTTGTTCTTACCTGAGAGTAGAGCAGCCCCATGGCTGCGGCAGGAACATACCTGAACACGTCCACACAAATCACACACAGAACAAACACACACAATTCCGGTGACCTGTTTCAAATTAAAAGCTTCACATCTGTCGACCTGGTTACACCTCCAAGTCTGCAGTTAAGGCTTAGTAAACACGTTTTATTTTATATAAAATCATCCTACACTGAGGGAAATGTTGAACTAAGTTTCGCCGTCCCCAAGTCTCCACGCGTTCAACGCCTGTGCTTTTATGCTGTAATCAGTAACTTCCTGTCCGTGCGCCCCTTAACCTCCTGTATTGACACACAGAGAGGAAAAGTCCTTTTTCATTTTCTGGAGCAAATAGATTTGACTTAATCATTTCCACCTGAACCTGAAACCTGCCGAGGCGACGTCAGAGTGGGCGTGTCTCTGAGCTGTGAATCGGCCTGAGGACAAATAAAAAACAGGTTCCGACAAAACAAACACCCGATGACGATGATGATAAAGAAGAAGAACATGATGATATGATCATCATACATACCTGTATGCTTATATATATATATACAGGTTTGGAACAGGAGCAAATGTTGACTCTGTGGAGTCGAATTAGTCGAAGTCCCAACAGAACCAAACGCTTTGAGTTTATGTTGAATTAATAACGTTAGACGTTTATTCATTAACACATTTGTACTGGCATGAAAAAAAATCAGGTTTCTGGTGACTTAACTGATTACTGACTTTTTTCAAATTAAATTATCATAAAAGCCGGTCCAGCTTGCTCAGCTGGACAGACTTTTTTTTACCTTTTTTGGTTTTGCTCAGCAGAAACCCGCAAGTTGAAATGGTCGCAACCGCAACGCAACCGGAATACGCAACGCAAGTTTGAAGTTGTTTTTTGTTGTTGTTGTTGGTTTAGTTTTGTTTGTTTGGTTTTTAAGTTTTGAAACCTGACACACACACATATACACACTCACACCCCCTGTGTATTGTACCTCTTGGGATTCGATCCCATGCTCTTTAGGTTGAAGGTCTGCGTCCCTCCTTGTTGCTCCACTTTCGGTACCGACAGTATCGCCGGTCTTTTTCGTACTTGAGTTTAAACATGGAGACCACAGTGAACTGAAAGTTCTGCAGGAACTCCTTTGCAGACGTTTTCTCTGTGGTGGAAGTTGGAGAACGTTCTAAAGCAGAGGAGAGTCAGTAATTGGAACATCATCACATGTTCTGTGTGTGTCAGTTCTGTGACACACGGTGGGACATATCTGTCCTATCCGGGATCTGGACCAGTGACTAGGCCACCCAATGTAAGTGGTTCTCTAGTGTAGTGGTTAGCATGCCTGCTTTGTAAACAGATACCAGCAAAGTGTTTTTGTTATTGGTTCTAATCCAGTCTGGAGTCAGTTGTCTTTTACCACGTGTTTTATTTAAAAATTAGTTCTGTGAACCTTACAAACTGTGACAGAAGAAGAAGACTAACCGACAACCTGCTGCTTCACACAATACTGCATCAATAGTTTTTTCCCCCTATTTTTACCTGAGGGCAGCCCCACGTCCACGTCCGGTGACCTGTTTCAAAATAAAAGCCTCACATCTGAAGACCTTGTTTCAGCTCCAAGGCTGCAGATAAGGCTTCATAAATACGTTTTATTTTCATATACAATTATCCTACACTGGGGGAAATGTCCATTTACCCCCGTTTTCCCGCCCCGAGTGCTTTTATACTCTAATCAGTAACTTCCTGTCCGTGCGCACCTCAATCTCCTGTATTGACACACAGAGAGGAAAAGCCTCAATCTCCTGAACTGACACAGAGAGGAAAAGTCCTTTTTTATTTTCTAAAGCAAATATTTTCGACTTAAGCATTTTAACCTGGACCTGAAACCTGCCGAGGTGACGTCAGAGTGGGCGTGTCTCTGAGCTGTGAGGACAAATAAAAAACAGGTTCTGACAAAACAAATAGCCTTACAGTGATCATGATGATTGATATGAATCTGATAGAATCAGAGATGGAACATGACACACCTAAGTGTCATTTCTATTTAGTTTATATTTATTTTAATATATATATAACATATAACGTTTATAAAGTTTATTTTTTTATGTAATTAATAACAATGAATTATAAAAATATTTTAATCGTGACAAAACCACCGACTACAGTCGAATCTGTTTATACTTTTAATACTGTAAAATGGCTTCGTTGATCTTTTTTGATGTCCAATAAATAAAGTGAATAAATGAGTTCACCTCTGCGACACACAAACGAACCATCAGCTCAACTCTCTCTCAAACCAGGGTCCCTGCAGGAACAGGGTCATGTCCTCGATCGATTTATTTCATGGTCTCGTGCGTCATCGTGTGGTCATCTTGTATCACTGCAACTCAGTAGAAGGCTGATGGAGGATGTAGTGTATGAACAACCACCATATATATATATATATATATATATATATATATATATATATATATATATATATATACTGTTCAAACAGCTGTCTCAGTAGTTTGATTAACTACACTACCTCCTAAACCAGTCTTTTATATTCACAAGTCCAGCTGCTGCTGGTCCACTGCTCCCTCCTGTGGTCAGTCTGTGTCATTGTAGTCAATCAACGATTCTCAAAACAAAAATGTTCTATACGGACTTTGGTGTTTGTGTGTGAACACACTAAATTTATACTGATTCCTGCCTTTGCTCGGAGTATGATTGACAGGTTGAATTATGTCAATGGTTCCGGTGAATTTACTGATTTTTTTCGTGCTGCCACCGCTGTGTGGTGGCCTAGTGGTTCAGCTGTTGGTTGGACTAATGACCTACTTCCTTGGTTTATGGTTCAAATCCTGTTTAAAACTCTCACGCTTGTTTTATTAAAAAATAAATATGTCAAAATAATCACACCTTTTTGTTTTGAAAATATATCTAGCTCTATAGTGTTATCTCCAGTTCAAGATTCCACAGAAAACACAGTGGGACATCGAAGTAGTCCTATCTGGGATTTGGACCACTGACCAGGACTCCCAACGTAACTGGTTCCCTAGTGTAGTGGTTAGCATGCCTGCTTTACAAACAGATAGCAGGAGAGTGTTTTTGTTATTGGTTCTAATCCAGTCTGGAGAACCTACGGTCAGTTGTCTTCTCTTTTACCATGTGTTTTATTTAAAAAAAATAATTAAAATAAAATTATTAGAAACATACAAACCGTGACAGAAGCCAGAATGGAACCTAGGAAACTAACCGACAACCTGCTGCTGCACACAATACTGCATCATTAGTGACAGAGATTCACTCTGATGACGTCACAGGGGACCCTCCTACCCCCGGAGGAGCGTGGAGGAAAGATTTAAAGAAAGCCATGTTTTTTCATGTGTTTTTGAAAAAAAAAAAAACGTATTATTTCAAAGCTATGTTGCCATCTCGTGGACGATATGTGATCCTGCATCGCTTGGGGTCAATAGTTTGGGGGAAAAAAATCTGGTTTCTGGTGCTCACCTGGAACTTACAGGTGAGCACCAGAAACCAGATTTTTAAAACACCAGTTTTAAAAATGAGTCAGAGTGAGACATCACCCTCTGGTGTTTACTCTCCACTTCTCTCTGGAACCAGCGGCGCTTAGGCGCATGTGCAGAGTGAGTCATCTTTGTGCAGCGACGATCTTTGAGATCCCCAGCAACATCATCATCTTCATCATCGTCACCAGTCGCTGCTGGAGCAGCAGCGGAGACTGCAGGATCATCACACATTTACCCCGCTCCTTCACTCACTTCAGTCCGGGAACCAGAGTCCGGGAACCAGAGTCCGGGAACCAGAGTCCGGGAACCAGAGTCCGGGATCCTCAGACCCAGTTTTGTGACCTGCGGTGTTTTTGTTTCTCCTCCTGGAGGTGTGTGTCTTCACCTGTGAGTCTTCCTCATGCTTCTGCTGTGATTCACTGACTTTGTGCTTTTATTGTGAAAATACTTTAATGAAAATTCAGTATTGTCCTTTTAAAGAAATATATTTGTATTATTTCATGTTTGAATCAGAGAGAGTTAGAAACACATCATTTGACTCTTTATGATTTATTAGCTTGTTTGATAGTTTGAGTTTTACTCTTAGAACCAATTAGTTTAACGTATTCAAATCTATACTCAACAGTTTGAGGTACTTTCATGGATTTAAGTTTTTTCTTCTGTGTATTATTTTAAAATAAACAGTTTATATTACTATGATGAAACATGGTAGAGGGGGCAGCATGTCACAAAAACTCCAGAGTTGAATGTGGACGAGCAGGATGTTCAGGTCATGTGACTGTGATGTCACAAGACAAAACAAAAGGAAAATGTTCACAAAGATCATTCACCGTGGTGAAAGAACCCTGCAGGAACCACACTCGGGGCATTAGTGGTTAAGGAAGCAGACTTGGGTCCAGAAGGTTTCAGGTTCGAGTCCACCAGCTGCCAAGTTACCACTGAGGTGCTCTGTAAAATAATTGACTTTCACTTCACCTCAAAGACAGAGGTGTGGACCAGAGTCAGGACCCAGACCTAGAGCTAGACCATGTCCATATATATATATAAACATATATGGTTAAACCTGGATTACAATAATTATATGGTTGCAGTATATTAGATTAGATATACTGTATACTGATATATATATTAGATCTGGATTCTTTCTAGATAACCCAGTGGTTGTATTTCAGGAACATCTGGACTGTTGGTACATGGGTCCTGACTCAGATCCAGATCATGTGTAGACTACAGTCTAAACTGAGTCAGATTAGAATCTGGATTGTGTGTGTGTGTGTGTGTGTGCAGGTGCTCCTGTTTTGAAGCCTCTCCAGTTTAAAAACCAGCGTGATTCACCTGTTGCCATGGTGACCTCCTCCTAGTGTGGATAATGGGGTGAATCAGATCTGTTCATCCTCTCACCAGGAGGAGGTGTAGGAGGTGCCGCCTCCTCATCCTCCTCCACAACCTTCTCCTTTTCCTCCTCCTCCTCCTCCTCCTCCTCCTCCTCCTCCTCTTCTTCTTCTTCTTCTGTACTGTCCAAAAGCAATGAGTCACTTAATACTGAGTTACTGGTCGCCACGGTAACTGGACCAAACTGAAGGTCCTGAAATGAAGTGCTGTGGATGATGATGAAGAAGATGATGATGATGGTGATGAAGAAGAAGATGGTGATGGCGATGAAGAAGATGATGATGATGATGATGGTGATGAAGAAGATGATGATGATGAAGAAGATGATGATGATGATGGCGATGAAGATACATGTTTATGTTTTTGTCCCCCCTGCAGTTAAGCATGATGGGAGATGACAGATGGATGGGGAGTCGGCTGTGGTCCAGACAGTGACACACACACACAGACACACACACAAGCACACACACACACACACACACACACACACACACCAACATGGACCAAGGCTTCAGTTTAAACTCTCTGGTGAGTGTTTGTGTGTTTGTGTTTGTGTGTTTGTGTGTTTGTGTGTTTGTGTGTGTGTGAGAATCCTTTCTGGTTTCAGTCCACAGAGACCTTCAAATAAAAATCCTCAGTTCCAGCAGGGGGCAGAATCTGTTAGTGAAACATTTCAAAATAGTTCAACTTTTTAATTCAATTCCACACCTTTGGACAAACTTCCAGCTAACTTTTAGCTAAGATTTGGTCTTTGTTTTTAAAATCCCAGCCATTTTCTACCTTTCTTACTCCTACTTTTCCTCCTCACTCCTCCCTCCTTGACTCCTTCTGTTTCTCCTCTCCTTCGTCTCCTGAATAGAAATCACCAGCTCACACTGCCCTCCTTATCCTGCTGCTTCAGGACCCTCGGTTGTAAATGAGTCATTTAACAAGCGCTGCATTCAGGTTCCTCAGCAGTGACGGTAAATCTGAGTTTCCTGTCTGAGCTGGACCGTGATGCATTTAATGAACGTAGGAGAGGACAGTTCTTTGACAAAAAGGTTGATTCAGCTTCAGTCAGTTTTCTCTCAATATATAAATGGGATCATGTCGAATGTGTTCTCTGTGCTGCCACCAGGGGGCGTCATGTTTTCCCACGGCTTGTGTGTCTGTGTCTTGGTAGAAGAAGCTGGCAGCGGAGCCTGACTACACTGACGTGTCACTGACAGCATCGGTGCGAGTTCGGGCCCTGGCGAAGATGGGCTTCAACGTGGAGATGAACGAGGACATCGCTCCTCGGCGCTACTTTCGCTCCGGCGTGGAGATGGAGCGGATGGCGGCAGTTTACCTGGAGGAGGGCAGTCTGGAGAACGCCTACGTCCTTTACAACAAGTTCATCACGTGAGGAAGCCAACGTGACGACACGCAGTTCTTACTTCTGTCTCTTCACCATCTGATGATTTCTTCTTCACTTTAGTCTCTTTGTGGAAAAACTGCCGAAGCACAGAGACTACCATCAGTGCAGCATCCCCGAAAAACAGCTGATCATGAAGGTACCACATCCATGGATGATGGATGGATGGATGGATGGATGGATGGGTGGATGGGTGGATGATGGATGATGGATGATGGATGATGGATGATGGATGGATGCTGTGGTAGAACCAGGTTCATGTCTGTGTCCGTTGTTTGTGTAGAAACTCCAGGAGGAGGCGTTTCCTCGTAAAGAAGAGTTGAAGAAACGTCTGGAGGAGAAGTACAGCAGAGAACACAGCGAGTACCTCAGAGCTCAGGTGAGTCTGCGTTGGCCAATCACAACCCTTTTAAATGTCCGTGTTAGCGCAGGTGCGTCAGACTGTGTGCGTCTCCTCAGAGCCAGGCGCTGCTGGTCGACGGCTGCGGCCAGCAGCTGCAGCGCATGTCGCTACTGGACGAGGACAGGAGGCGCTTCGTGCTGCTGGAGGGTGAGAGGCAGCGCGTCGCCGCTCTGCGACAGATGCAGATTGAATCAGAACAGTTTCGATATTTTGAGGACCAGCTGAGACGTCAAGAACTGGCCAATAGGAGAGGACAAGTGGAGCAAATGGTAGAGTCAAGCAGCGCTATAGTCGCACAGCTAATTATGCTAACCTGGCTAATTAGCATTATTTGGATCGTGTGTGTTTTTAGGTGGAGAGTATAGAGCCTAAGACTACAGATGGGACTGACCGCTCTCAGAGGCCAATCAGAGACAGCGTAGGACCCCAGGAGGCGGGTCCAAACAGGAAGAGGCCTCCTGTGTCTGTTAGCCAACCAGCTGCCACACTTGCTGCAGTACACAGTGAGTACACACACGTACACACACGTGTACGTATGTGATCACCGTGCTGCCTTCATGTTCCTGTGTGTGTTTGTTTTGTCTATCTTTGCAGCTCACAGAGTGGAAGGTCTGAGGCGGGTGGTGATTCCCAGAGATCTGACCTATCGCTTTCTCCTATTGGCTGAGGCCAACACGGCCAGAGGAATCGAGACCTGCGGCATTCTCTGTGGACGACTGGTGAGAAACTGGTCCCTGCTGGTGTGACTGCTGGTGTGACTGCTGGCGTGACTGCTGGTGTGACTGCTGGTGTGACTGCTGGTGTGACTGCTGGTGTGACTTATTATTTCTTGGCTCACAAACAGGAACCTGTCTCCTTTTTGTACCCCCTCCCCAACAGACACACAACGAGTTCGTACTGACGCACATCGTGATCCCAAAACAGTCGTCTGGTCCTGATTTCTGTGACATGGAGAACGTGGAAGAACTGTTCAGTTTCCAGGACCAACAGAACCTGTTAACACTGGGCTGGATCCATGTGAGGCTACATGCTAACGCTCACATACATGAATACTACACACACTGCATGCTAAATATAGAAATAAACACATTTTGAGGACATGCTAACACACCACTGACCAAACACCTGCTAACACACCACTGACCAAACACATGCTAACTCACCACTGACCTAACACATGCTAACACACCAATGCTAACACACCACTGACTGACCAAACACATGCTAACACACCACTGACCAAACACATGCTAACACACCACTGACCAAACACATGCTAACTGAATGTAGCATGCTAACACATGCTACATTCAGACTAAATCTTTCATGGCAGCACTACACAGACAGAGACCACAAACAAACGCAGTACATCACAGACATGGTAATGGTGCGTTGTTGACTGACCTTTGACCTGAGGGTCATTTAAAAACACAAACAGCTGATGGCTCTGTTGTGTGTGTGTGTGTTATAAACCAAACAAACACACACACACAGTGCACGACCTTTGCTGCACTTTCTCTTCTCCTTCATTTGCATGATCAAAAGTCACCATGGCAACAGAGCCAGTGGTCGAGCAACAGATGACAAAGAGAGAGAGAGGGACACAGATGGAAATCAAAGGACAGACGTCTCACTACAGGAATGTTTCCATAAATAAAACTAACACAACAATGGCTGTTCAGACCAGGACCCACGTCGTGGAACCCATGGTTCTGGTCTTACCTTGTTTTAACTTTATGACTGACTGGGCCTCGGTCCAGGTGACAGGGTTGGTCTGACCAGGGCTCAGACCCCAGCCTGTGTTCTGGCCTCAGTGAAACCACTGACCGGTCTGGTTGAGGTCTCAGGTCCGTGTTTGTGTTTCAGACTCATCCAACTCAGACGGCCTTCCTGTCCAGCGTGGACCTCCACACCCACTGTTCGTACCAGCTGATGCTGCCTGAGGCCATTGCCATCGTCTGCGCTCCGAAACACAACGAGTACGTCTGTAACCCCCCCCAACACTGATCCACCTCAAACCTCAACACCAGTTTCTGTGTCTGACCTGGTTCTGAACCTTTCCTCTGCAGCACCGGCGTCTTCAGGCTAAGTGGTCCAGGAATGTCCGAGGTTTCCGGCTGCAGACTCAAAGGTTTTCACCCCCACTCCAAGGATCCTTCGCTGTCAGTCAATGCTGTGCTTCAGTAAACACACCTGGGTTTGTGCTAACCTTAGCGAAGCTAGGCTAACCATGTGATCTGTCTCATCTCCTCAGGTGTGTAAACATGTGGTTGTCAGGGAGTCCAAAGTCATCCTGCTGGACCTCAGGTGACAGACAGGGAGCGCTGTGACACAGTCAGTGCCTTCTCTCAAGGAAAATCCCGTTGGATTGGAGCTAATTTGAAGACAGTTCAAAAAGTCATTCAGGTTTTTAGTAAACTTATCTTGAACTCAAGATGGAGGACAGAGTGTTCAGCTCTGGCCTCTGATTGGTGGAAGCAGAGCACGCCTACAGTCTCAGGACTATGACATCATCATTTTCAGTCAGACTGGAGCCTTTACACGATGACATGCATCATTTATGTCCTGTGACATCATCAAAAGTCGGCGATTCTTTCACTTTTACAAGTCAACAGAGAATTTTAAAGTTTTAAAGTCTAAAAAGATGAAACTGTTGTTCGTCTGTAGTTAATACTGACTTTGGACTGAATAAAGACAGACTGTCACGGTGTGTTTTCACGGTGTGTTTTCGGGCGATCAAACTTTGTCTCTTTCAGGTGGTTGACGTCACATGAAACATTTTACTACACTTTATTACTGTAAAACATGCAACCACACATACTGCAGACAACCATTTGGCGGGAACATGTTGATGATTGCAGTTGCACGTTTGAGCCACCGGAGGGCGAGTCATGTAAAACAACCTATTGGCCGGACCTTGTTTTTGGCGGAGCTAAACCGAACAACCCACCGCATTTCATATCTGTCATGGCGATTGTCAAACGCAGTACGTTGTGCTCGTTTAAGTCAGCAGAGGGCGACAAAGCACAAAATTGAAAATTAAAAATAGCTGCTGTGTTTTTTCTTATACGTTTTTTTTTCTATCTCTGCCCATTAATCTCACCTGTTTCTAATTCTTGACACACACGCACGCGCACTCGCGCCCACACGCACTCTCACCACAGGAGGCAACACTGAGGGAGGAAGGAGAATCAGTTGTGTGAAATGAGACAAATTCGTGTGTCCAAGTCTTTGTGTGTTCCCAAAACATCAAAGTCTCTCAGAGTCCTGTTGGTCAATTGGTTGCTTGCTCTGATTTGCTCTCTGATTGGTTGCTCACATTGATGAGTTTCTTGATGTTTTTTTAATCTGGAAGTTGTTTTTTTTTAATAACTACTGATTTGTCAGATTTTTTTTTCTAGAACTTCTTGAGAGACTTTTAACGGCTTCATTTAGATAAAAGGTTAAAAAGAGAACATCACATCAAATCACAGATGAGAACAAAACTTTAGAGAATGTGTTGAAAATATAAACAAATGAGAAAATGACAAAATAATAAGAGGAAGAAACACTTAAGACGATATTCATTAGTCAATTTATAAAAAACAAAAGTAAAAAACAACAGAATTAAACTAAAACTCTGGATTGTGGGTGGTGCAGCAGAAACCGGTGGAGGAGAAACAACAGCAGGTCGGAGGCCTGACTGTGGTCCAGTGGGCGGAGCCTGTGGTTTGATCTGCGGCCTGTGTCCGTCCAATGAGGCGTTTCATTGGGTTAAATAAACCGAAGCGAGGCCAACGACTGTGGAGTGAGGAGACAAGCCAGAGGAGTTGGAGTGAGGAGCGCCTCCTCCTCCTCCTCCTCCTCCTCCTCTTCCTCCAGCAGCCATCTTTGAACCAGCAACAGCAGCGACATCCTGCTGTGGTGTTTAAAAGGGGAGCTGGCACACGACAACAGGACGTGCTGCTAAATCCAGTCAGAGCGTATGACGACGCCAGGCCCTGTCACTCAGAGTCAGGTTTGACCTCAGGAGGTCACGACCACCGCCACGCTTTCAGTTATACACTGAGGAAACAACAGCCGAGAGAAACTCACAGAACGGCCCTTTAACTGGAACTGATGAGTCAAGGCTTGTTTACAGGAAAATCTAAAATGTCAGAAAAGATGGACGCAACAAAAATAAATAAATAAATAAAATAAAAGGTTTAATTCAAGTCTAAATCAACAGTATTTGAAGTCCGTAAAACAACCACTCTCTTAGACCAAAGTCCATGTAGAAAATGACTGATTTCATTTCAGAGACACAGAAGAAATGACTGCCTCCTGTGGTCAGTTTGTGTCACTGGTGTAGATCTGAATGAAGGATTTGTAACGGCGAAGTGATAAAAGAACACATTTGAACTTAGTCACGGAGGCAGGACTTTTGTATAGGACGTTGTTTTAACCTCGGAACGTAAACAAAAACGTTAAATGTTTAGTACATTTATATTTACATTTAGGGATAAATATTCTTTGGTTGAAACAATGATTTCTTTAGATGTAACCTCTTCCTCTGCCTGACTGCTCCTCCTCCTGCTCCTCCTCCTCTAAAGGAGTTTCGATGAACTCTCTTCAATCACCTCCTGCTGTTTTTCTTCATCAGCAGCACACGACCCTGTCCACGCCCCCGGCCCGCGCACTGCGCGTGTCCGCCGCTCCTCTGGGCATAAATTGAGTCAAAGTTGGAGTGGAACTCTGTTGAAGTGAAGAGGAGTGAAGAAGAGTGAAGAGGAGTAAGGAGTGAATGATGGCACCGAGGAGAAGCCTCTTCATCAGCGGCCCCGCTGACACGCACGCTGACTTCCACGCACTCGCTGACGCGCCGTGCGCCGTCGTGGAGCTGCGGCTCGGACCTCCTGCCGCAGCCTCCGGAGGTGTACAACTCCTGCAGCCTGACAGGTGCTCCTCCTTGGAGCGGGCTCAGAGGCGGAGGAGGCTCGCGGCAAACGCCCGGGAGCGGAGGAGGATGCTGGGACTGAACGTGGCCTTCGACCGTCTCCGCAGCGTCATCCCCAAACTGCAGAGCGAGAAGAAACTGTCCAAGTCCGAGACCCTGCAGATGGCGCTAATCTACATCAGCACTCTGAGCGAACTGCTGCAGGAGCAGGGCCGCACCGGCCGGGGCCACAGTCAGGGGCCCACGGAGGAGGAGGAGGAGGAGGAGCAGGAGGAAGAGCCGGAGGAGACGGAGAGGAGCTGGGACAGAGAGGAGCTGCTCTGACGACGGCGGTCAGGACGTTAAAGGGCCAATCAGTGATTTAAAAAAAACATTTCATCAATCAAATGTTTTTCTTCCATGTTTGTTGTTTAAACTATTTTCATATTATTAAATATATATTTTTTCACCAAAGATCCTGAGTTGTTGGTTTTCATCCTCCTGAGATAAATATGTCAAATAATGAACATTTTAAATATATATATTTTTCAACTAAAGATGAAATTTGTTAAAAAAAAGTCTATTTTAAAAAACGTTCTGAATAATAAAATAACTAAAAATATCAATACTTTTCCCTAAAACTTTTCTGAAGCTCAGAACAAATGTAATAAAATAAATGACATGAATCCTTTAAATGAAAAGACGAGAAACAAACAAGAAGAAAAACTTCTTACCAGTGACTGGAGTTCTTTCTGCTGCTTTTGTCCTTTTTTGGAGAAACAAAAACATTAACATTACAAAAATATATTTTCTCAACATTCCTTCAAGTGACATTTGTACAGAATTAAAAAAGTAATTAAACTAATTCAACACCAGAATCAGGACTCAGTGGAAACGACTGAAAGAATGGACTTTCATCCTGCAGTGTGAAACCAAAGAGTGAAAACTGGAACAGTGATGGGAACAAAAAGACGACGACGACAAAGACGTCAACGAAAAGTTTATTTATTCATTTTTTTGTTTCATTAGAAAATGAAAAATAGAGTCAGATTCAGGAAAAAGTAGAATCTACTGGTCTAAACTCTTACATTTAAGCCCCGCCCACTCCCCCTCCCTCCTCCAGTTTCTCTCCTCCGACACGAGGAAACTTTTATTTACAAAATATTTACAGCAGTAAAACGAACAATAACAAGACTCGTCCGTTTGTTCTGCGGACGTGAATAAAGCTCTGTAAACTCTGACGGGAGTGTGTGTGAGCGCGCGCGTGTGTGTGTGTGTGTGTGTGTGTGGAGCACCTCCAACAAACCCCAGACACTGGTTTGGTTTCTTTTGCTCAGACGGATGATTTTTTTTCTCTATTTTTATGTTTTTTTTCTCCTTTGATTCAAAAGCAGCAGAAAAAACCCCAGAAATCTTTGTTGGTTTTTTATTTTAACATCTTTCTGGTCAGAGGTCAAACTACAGCAGCTCCGAGGCCTGACCACGGTGACCACGGTCCAAGGGGCGGAGCCTGTGGGTTTGATCTGCGACCCGTGTCCGTTCAATGAGGCGTTTCATTGAGTTCAATAAAACAGAGCCAACGAGGGTCACGTGACCCGGGAAGAGCTCCTTGACTGAGGAGCAGAGACGAGGAGGTGGCTGATGACCTCAGAGAGGCTCCGCCTCCTCCTGCTCCTCCTCCTCCTGCTGCTGCTCCTCCTCGGTCCCGTCTGTGACACTCCTCAAATGCATTATGCGTCTTGTTCCTGCTCTTTGCTCACATTACAACTGAAACGCTGATACTGGACACCTGGTCCAGGACTGGAGTCCAGTGGACTGTGGAGTCCAGTCCTCGTTCAGGTCTAGCTCCAGATCAAAAATGAAAAAGGTCCAGGTCCAGGTGAGTGAAGATCAGCATGAGTCCAGTTTCCTGGGTTTGTGGTGGGAATGACATTTTCACAGAGTTCAGACAAGGTTTGGTTAAAAGTTAAACAACCAGCAGGGGGCGCCATCCTGTCGCCGGTTTGACCTGACGATGAGAGAAGTTTGTGTCTGGACAGAAATCACTTTATATCACTTTGGAGACCGGTCGACCAATCATTTGTTTAGAAACTCGTCCAGGTTTGTGTCCATCAGTCCACAGAAACAGGTTTGGGTGGAGACAGATGGAGACAGGTGGAGGAGATGAACCAAACAAACATCCTTCTGAGAAAACTCACACGAGTAGAACACACGTGTGTAAATGTTAAAAACGGCCAAAAACAGGTTGAAGAGAAGAACGTCTGTGAACGGAGGTGAAGCAGAAACGTCTTCATGATGATGACGGTGTCCAGTGTGTGTGTGTGTGTGTGTGTGTCCCAGACTAACAGTCCTCCAGATAGTCGATGATCTTGGAGATAGACTTCTGTCCTGTGGTGCCGACGTCACACTGAGACAAACACACAAACAGACAGTTTTATCAAAACAAATGTCGCGGCTTCTTTGTCGAAATGATTCCAGCGTCAGGACGTGGGGGAGACGGGGGGACGAGGGGGGACACTTTTAAAGACTCACTGTGAGGTTCATGAAGTTGAGGAACTTCTTCAGCATCTCCGTCATGATGGAGAAATCTCCTTTAGGAAGGTTCTGTCTCACAGTAGTCACATTCATCTGACCAGAGACAGTTGGAACAGAGTCAACATGTGGACTGGGGCCCAGTTGTGGACATGGTACCAGGACCAACAGAGTGGTTAACAGTTCAAGTCCTAACTGCTATATGTGACCTCTGACTGTGACCCCACTTTGACCTCTAGTCATGACCCTAAAGCTAACAGTTCTAACCCCAGTGCTAACCTCTGACCTTTAAGCCACTGACTCAACATTATCTTCAACCACAACCTCCCCTGAAACCAAACCCTGAACCTGTGTGTGTGTGTGTGTGTGTGTGTGTGTGTGTGTGACTCACAGGACTGGCCTGACACAGGCAGCCCAGCAGCAGTGCGGTGTACGAGGCCACGATGCTGTCCTCCATGTGCTTCCCTGCGTGCTGCAGAGCTGCAGAGGAGGAGGAGGAGGAGGAGGTGATGATGAAGATGAAGATCACAGCCTTACCTTTATTGGTATCATACAGAAAATAATGACTCTACCTTTGTTGAGGTCCAGCTCCCCGTCCTCCTCCTCCTGCTTCTTGTCCTCCTGTTTGTCCGCCGTGTGGTTGTCGTTGGCGCCCCACCGGAGCTCCCCCCCCGCCT